TGCCTCAGTTGCTCTCTGCAGAGTGTTTTGACAGCAGCTTGACACAGAATTCTTCACGGTCTGCTTGTTGAGATGTACTGGCCTTTAAAATAATAACAATAACAGAATATTGATTCCAGGGCTTCCAGTGTTTTGTTTACATTCATTACCTTTTATTTTGAAAAGAGGAGATTTCCAGAAGCTATTTCTGATATGATTTAAGGAAAAAAAGAAAAAATAAGTTAGTTCCTCCAATTTACCCCACAGAAAGAATAATGCTTTACAGTTGCTTTCACATTACATTCAGCCTCAATTCAGAGGAGGGAACTCCACCAGCATCATAATAATTTCTATCGAAAAAGTGAAGCCTTAAGAATAAAAAAGAAACTTAGCAACTCTATAAATCTGCAAACACACTTATTTTGTTTCCACAGTCATGGAATAATTTAGGTTGGAAAGGATCTCTGGAGGTCAGCACCTGCAGTCCAAGGCTGCTTTGGTCTCTGTTCAACTTCTGGAGGTTTTCAGTTCACTTTGCTCACCTGTCCAGGTCCCTTCCTACCCTCTAGTGCAGAAGCTGCTGCCCAGTAATCTTTTAATACCATCAGTTTTGCCAAGTCACAGAGAATTTTTCAATCATGAAAAACCCTCTTATCCAGCATCTAAAATTCCAAACCAAGAACAACTCAACCCACCTGTCAGTCCTCAAATTCCAATCACAGGTACACAGCTGATCCTTTGATTCCCACTGCTCCTAAACAAAAAGAAAACCATTTTAAAAAGTTACAGATTAACATTCACACAAGTTCTGAGCAACTCCAAGTTAAAGAAAGTTCTACATATCAAAATGGTTTGGCAGGTTGTTTTATTTATTTTTTTTTAAATTACCTGAACGTGTGAGCTGTGGGCTCCAAATGACCATTCTGTGTTGGAAGCAGCATCCACACAGTTTTGACGGGGCCATCCCACCGGCCGAGATTTGTTCATCATCGTTATCTCTGTGTTAATTGCCCTGGAGCAGAGACAAACCTGAGCACTGCTGCTTCTGCTTGTTGTAAAGCAAGCTCTGAAATCAGAGCTGGCATCGACAGCCTGTGTCACTGCAGAGACACTGGCCATGCTTTTCGGGGTTCCACGGCGCTCTGAGTTCACACAGCGGGGACTTCCACCAGAGGATTCATCTGCAACTTCCACACTAAAATCAGGATTCTTACTAGTGGGAATTTCAGAGACAGGAAATTGGATTCCAGCATCCTCTGCAGTGCTGTCAACACAGACGGTACCAGGTTTTCCACAGCTGTAGAAATCAGAGGATTCTGCGTGTTCGCAAAACTGCAGAGCTACTTCAGGGGCCCTTTCCCTTGGTGCCAGGAAAGGGCCCTCTGGCTTCATTGAGACACTCTGAGTGTGCCTGTTGCTGTCCCCAGACACTTCTTCTTCCCCTGTACTGATGTGGGGTGGCACCTTGTGACCTTGTGGTATGTCCTTCACCTCTCCAATTTCCCTCTCCTCAAAGAATTCACTTGAGCTATTTGTATCATCAGCATATTCCTCGTAAGCACTGAGATACTCCAGATGGGAGTCTTCACTTAAAAGGCTTCCTTCACCTGGATCTTCACCTGGACAGGAGCCCTGAGGGACCCTCCTTTTGCTGTTAACATGGCTGCTCTTTCCCACTTCCATGGTACCAACACTCCCTCTTCCTCAGAAGTAATCCACACAACTCACTTCCAGTGAAACCTCTCTGGCTCTTCCTACCAGGTTCTCCTTTAATAAAAATCCAGAGAAGTTAGAGATGCTCCATGGTATTCAAGAAGACATTACAGTTAACAAAATATGTTAAACTAACCATCCTACTTTTACCTACTGCATGCTAGCACAGAAGGTAGCAATGCTATTTTATGTTCTCAAAGAAATCCTAAGAGGTCATGGAAGACCATTACAAGAATTTGCTGTCCTTGACTGTGTGATTTCACTTGAGTAAAAGCATCCTCAGAGACCAACCATCCCTATTTTCTTAAACTCCTGGGCAAAGCTTCCATGCCCTTAACATGGAAGCATTTCTTGGCTGAAGCATCAGAATCCCTGTTGATACACAGTGAACTACTTTACATCATACAGCACACAAGGGGTTCAGATGCACATACTGACTCTGAACTATAAAGTTTTACATAAAATCAGAAAACTGTCCAGTTTTTTAAAACCACTCATATTAAGAAAGAGGTGAACTTCAAGCTCTGTGCCTCCCAAGAACTAAAAACTCCCCATTTGCTGGACTGAGGGAAGTTAAAGCATATTCCTTTTATTTCTGCGGAAGCAAGAAACAGTTTTCAAGGACAAAACCATAAGAAAACCTGAGAACCTTTAAAACCAGAAAGTCTAAGTCATAAAGGAACACAGGAAGACAATCTCTTGCAGCAGAGCCCTTTTTTTAGCAAAAGAAGGAAGCTGGACAATACACTAAAACCAAAGCAATGCAACAAACCCCATTTTGTGAAAAATATGAACAAAAAGCAGAGAAAAAGCACACAGGGATGGAGGATGCTCTTTGTGAAGCTTGTTTATTATAAACATTTGTCAGTTCTTCTCTGCCTTCCCTCAGAAGCTTCTAACGAATTAAAGAATACATAAAAACACTAGACATATTCCTATTAGGTCTGCTTTCTAAACTACTTAAATGACGCATTACAGTCTTTGTCACCAGTACATGAGAGCCCTTTCTCAGGTGGAAAAATGCCTTATCTGTCCAATCTGCATCCACTGATGCCTCTCCACTAGGGATTTTAATTCAAATGGCATCACTTTAAAACACTTCATAAAAATGCTTGAAACCTTTTACAGAAGTGATCGATAGAAGTCATTCACCCTCCAAAGACAATCATGGAATGGTTTGGGTTGGAAGGGATCTCAAAAGTCATCTCCTTCCACCCCCCTGCCGTGGGTAGGGACACCTTCCACTAGACCAGGTGGCTCCAAGCTCCTGGCCTTGAACACTTCCATGGTTTCATTACGCACTTTTACAGTTATTTTTCCTTCAAAAACGTTGTCTTTTCTTACTACATTAACTTTATCTTCACCTCCTAACCGAAGCTTTGAGCGACTCCGTGGAATTCAAAGCCGAACGCTGCCACAGCACATCCCAGACGCCTGTACATAAATCACAACGTTATTAACACGGCGAAGTGACTTACCCACTTAAGAACAAGCCAAGAAACGAGAGCCAAAACACCTCCACGCCCCAGGTAAGTTACAGTAACCTTGCTGCCGCTGCTAATGACACAACCAGACGTTGAGCCACAGCCGAGCCAGTCCCCGCCGCGGCGCTGGGTGAGGGCGGGGGGAGCCTGGGGCTTCTGCTCGCCCGGGGGGAACCCTCAGGCGGCAGAACCGCGACTTACCGCAGCTCCAGGGCAGGCTGAGCCGCTGTCCCGCTGCCCAGATGAAGTCCCCGGCCCCACTAGCGCGGCCCCGGCCCCGAGCCGGCCCGGCCCCGTTACGGGCGCCGCGTCCCGTCCCGTCCCGCCCCGCCCCTCAGACCCGGCCGCAGCCGCGGCCCCGCCGGACACGCGCTCAACTCCCTCCCGGCCCCGCGCCCCGCTCCCATTGGCTGCGGCGGGGACCGTGCCGCCGTCTGATTGGCCGGCGCTGAGCCCGCGCTCACCGCATGCCACCACCCCTTCCATCAGAAGCGGTGCCGCCATGTTCTTCTTCGGCGGTGCTGCGGTGTCCCCCTCAGAGGCGGTGTCACCGCGTTCCCCCAGAGACAGTACCGCCATGTGCCCTCAGAGGCGGTGCCACCGTGTTCCCCCCAGAGACAGTACCACCATGTGCCCTCAGAGGCGGTGCCGCGGTGGCCCCTGAGAAGCGGCCAGTCCCTTCTCTTCCCTCACGACTCTCCTGCCACTGGGCACAAAGCCCAAACCGTAGCTGGCGGGGAGGAGCAGCAGCATCCCTTGTACAGTTATTACATAATAAGAATAAAAGAATAAAAGAATATCCTGAGCTGGAAGGGATGCACAAGGATCATTGAGTCCAGCTCCTGACCCTGCCAGGACACCTCAACAATCCCACCCTGTCCCTGAGAGCACTGTCTAAGTGCTCCTTGAGCTCTGGCAGCCTTGGGGCCATGACCACTGGCCCTGGGGAGCCTGTTCACTGCCCCGCCACCCTCTGGGGGAATAACCTTTTCCTAATATCCAACCTAAACTTCCCCTGAGACATACTAAAACTTACCTGAAAGTTTCCAGCCTGAAGGAGCATGTTACAGGAGCGGAAGTAAATGCAGGTACATACCTGCCACTCGGGTACATGTTACTTTTAAAAGTGGCTCTGCTCCTTCCTTTAAACATATGCACGTAAAGGTCTTAATATTAAGTGTGTAAAACATCACTCAGCTGCCTAAAACAACCTCCCAAACATATACTATTGTTTAGAGCATCTAAAGCAGAGACAAGCACTACCCTCCTCCTCAGTCTCTTTCACGGAAGCAGCATCTCTGGCAACACCCATGATCAGGGCAAGATGAAATTTTGTACTAAAATAACACTTCTTTGATGAACAAAGCTGCCTCCTGTTGTGAAGGATTCTTCCAGGGAAAGTTTCTATGTGTTACCTCTATGTTCACCAGAAAGAAAGCAGAGAATTCATCCAATTAGCAATACCATTCAAATTTCTCTTGCTGGGAGGCTGTCCCCATCTTCTCCCTGCCCAAGTGCACATGGCCACTAAATGTTCAATATTTGGAGATATATGTGCACCTGACATTAAAAATATTACTATTTGGAGGTATATATGTGCCCTGCCATTAAAAATGTTAATATCTAGAGGTGTGTCTCACACCGGTGCCCTCAGTCACACAAGCTCCTGAATTTGTACACTTTACAACCAGCGTTGCTCACGTTTGTGTGATCCTACAGCAACGTATTAAAAAGGAAAATGGGCTGCTACACCGGTGTCATCCCAAAACTCTGTATTTTCCAAGAGAACTTTTCGTGGTAACATCACCATGACAGACCACTCCATAAAAACTACCCAAACAAGTGACATTTTATTGGCGAGTTCTGCTCATAATGAATTTCCTTTTCCACGCTCACATTCCCTAACAGAGCGCCTGGAAAAAAGCCAAACAAACAAAACAAAAACCCAACATTTTAGGTAACATTCCATTTGCAAACAATAAAATTATTTAACAATTTAAAATAGAGGATAACAAATTCATTTAAGTTCTAGGAAAACCTATCCTGGTTCCCCCAGGAGCTGTTCCTCGCCAGGCTGCCACTACCTCAGCTCCACTCTGGGTCCCGAGGCGCTCTCATTTGGAGCTCAATTAAAAGGACTGGGACATGTGCTATTATTACCATTAAAAGCCCTGTTGTTGTACATTCTTCACAGAAAAACATAAAACAGTTTGCAGTAAACCAACCAGTTCTTTTTCTTCCCTTATTCTAAAGCTAAGTCATACTGAAAGTTAGGGGGAGAAAAAATGTGTCTTCAACATTCATCTACTTTACCACACACAAAGATTTCTACTAAGAGCATATCCAGGTTGAAATAACACATCTGACTTCCGTCATGAGGTTAATGCTTATGGGGTGTGAGATGAAAACTACTTTGAAATAATAAACACATCCCTTTTTGATGAGCAAAGCATTATTTTTAGCCTTTTGGACCAATGCTTAATTGCTGAGTTGTTTCTCCTGAATCTTGCCAGGAGAGACAGCTTTCACCACTACCACAAATGAAAAGATGACTGGTGACAATCACACACCTTATCATTACTAAGATGTTGTATTTAGCATGTTTGTTCGCATTCTGAAAATCCCTTAGCTCATTTTTTAGGCCCCAGAGGCTTTGTACACCAGAAATTATACAAGTCAAGCACAGAAAATTGTAAATTGGTATCCACAGTGATTTTGAGGTATTCCACAAGAAACCTGGCTCTGCACCTGAATGTTCCTCTCAAAAAACAAACAAACAAACAAAGACCCCAAAGCCCTAGCTGGAGCGGAAATTTAATTTAAAAAGATTCCTTCCATCTCCATGTTTCATCACATTTGATGAACAAGGACCTTCCCCACCAAGGCACAGGAAGGTCCTTCAGCTGGCACCTTTGCACGGCAGGCAGCTCCTCCCAGACCCTGCCCGAGCCATGAGGGACAAGGAAAACAAAAAACTAGTGGATTTTACAGACCACAAAAAGGGGACTGAGAAACATTTATTGGAGATCTTAAAAAGTGGGAAACAGTCCCGTTGGCTGAAACAATTCCTGATGTATAGAAAACATGTGTCCTGCATAGAAACATTCCTTGAAGATGAAGACCGGTTGGACACAGTTGTTCATTATCTGCAGGAAGTATATGCCAAGATGGACAAGACAAACTTCCAACACCTCCTTGGGGACAGCATCAGATTCACAACTGATGTCCTCTTTCTGGAGGTGAGTGAACATGAAACTGTGGAAAAAATAACTGTAAAGTAATAAATAACATGAATTATTGTACTGCAGGCAGTTTGCAGAAAGCCTGATTGTTTCAGTATCATATTGCTTCACTACAGGTTTGCCTAAAATCAAGCTTGCTTGGAAGAAGTTTGCCATGACTTTCCCATTACCAGGTAATGCACTGCTGAATTACTGGTATAATTTCGTAGAATCCCAGAATGGTTTGGATTGGAAGGGACCTTAGAGATCTCATTCCACCTCTCTTGTCATGGGCAGGGACACCTTCCACTAGACCACGTTGCTCCAAGCCCTGTCCAACCTGGCCTTGAACACTTCCAGGGATGGGGCAGCCACAGCTTCTCTGGGCAGTGTGTCCAATTCAGTATGTTTATATCTAGAAACAGATAATTTGAGGACTTTGAAAAGGATGCATATTTTAGATATACTTCTCAAAACTGCACCTAGTCGGTATGGTCACATGTTATGCATCAGGACAGAGCCAATCATTGAATTTAAGGGTTTTATCTCTTGGGGACTGCATCTGCCTCCAGAGACATTTCCTTTCACTCTGAAGTGGTTGGGAGCTTGCAGGAGCAGAAGTTTCTTGAAGTAAACAGCTACTGGGCTTTCCCCATGGAGTAGTGATGCAAGTGTTGATGGCTTCATTTCATGTATACATCCAGTCTTAGGCTAAAACAAGGAATGCGAAGGACATGGAGGTGCTGGAGTGTGTCCAGAGAAGGGAGTAGAGCTGGGGAAGGGTCTGGAGCACAAGTCTGATGAGGAGCAGCTGAGGGAGCTGGGGGGGCTCAGCCTGGAGAAGAGGAGGCTTGGGGGAACCTTCTCGCTCTCTGCAACTCCCTGACAGGAGGGTGGAGCCGGGGGGGGAGTAGGGCTCTTCTGCCACATCTCAAATGGAAGGACGAGAGGAAATGGCCTTAAGTTGCATCAGGGGAGGTTCAGATTAGATATTAGAAAACATTTTTTCACTGCAAGAATGGTCAGGCATTGGAATAAGTTGCCCAGGGAGGTGGTGGAATCACTATCTCTGGAAGTGTTCCCCAGGAGCATAAAAAAAGCCTTCTTCATCCTTTTCCTGGGATATTAATTTCAGTACTTCATTCCTATATTTCATTGTGCACTCAGAAGAGATGAAGAAGAAGGTGTTGTTTCCTAGCCAAACCAGAGAAACACATTCAGACACTGTTTTTGGTTTATTTAGTGAAGGTGCTCTAAGAAGATACCAGCGATTCCCTTGCGTTGAAAATAGCAGCAGTTTGTACTGTAACCTCCCGTCTGCAAGGAAGAGGCTGGGGAAAGACCTGGATCAGAGAGTCTGAAGACTAAGTTAAGAAGAATTGTGGTCTCCTGGGTCTGGATTTGGCTTGATAGAACCACACCTATTGACGCAGCATGGACAGAGGGTTGCTCCTGTGTGGAACAGCAGATGCTGCTTCACAGCATGAGCAGATTCCGAAGGGATCGGTCGCCTGCCTCAGGCGCTTTCCTGTAAGGGCCGAAAGGGGACAGGCAGCTTTATCCCTCAGGTAACTGCTGTTCTCCTTTGAGTAGTACATTCAGAATGATTTCCAATAAACCAGAGCTGTAGTGCTAGTCGTATATAATTTTTGTACACACAATAATTGCCTGCAACATCTTAATTGGTTACGCTGATTTTCAGGAAAAGTGGAAAACCTTCATAATGACCTAAGAAGGAAAGAAGTCGCTACTTCTGTATTCGTAGAAAACCCATAGGCAGTAATATTTTCTAAAGTGCTTCTTTACTTATCAGTTACTCTTTTAAAAATCAGACTTTTATTTTGTAGCGGCATTGTTTCCTAGTGGTTCATGGACCAGTAGATAGTTTCTGATGTAAAAAACCCATTTCATATTTTGTTTAAGCAAATGACACTTGCTTTGACAAATGCACCAAAGAGAATGATCTAAGTGCAAAACCCACCATTTCTGAAAACACGGCCTTATGCTGGTTTACTAACGCAACTTTACATCTTTTAAAAGTCATTTACTTCAACTCCAAGAGCAGGGATTAAATAATACAAATAAAAGTTGAAAATTCAATGAAGCTATTGCCTATTTACCCTGAAATAAAAGAGTCTCATGATTCCACTGGTGCAAAAATCCCTCCAGACACCTTTGTTTTATTGGCAAAGTCATTTAAGGTCACTTTTGCTTCCAAGACCATCTTCTTCCATGGTTTCCACTGAAGGAGTTTTGCTTTGTAATGGCTTGTGGTTCCACAGTGATTTGTAAATGAAAAACCTACTATGAATAACTCTACCGTAGTCACTAAATTACAGATACTGTCACGAGAAAAGTCCAAAACTTACAGTGTTTCTTTTAAAATTTTCAGCAAGACACAAAAATTCCAGTCAAATTGTTTTCTTTGAATACCATTTTAAATGGCAATAAATGGCTGCTGTGCCCCTCTGGATGGAGAACTTAATGTGCTTCTTACGCGGTCGACTGATACTGTACTTCGAAAGTCCCCAGCGCTCAGTGTGGAAGGGCTCCTGCAGGCACAGCCATTTGGATCAGCTACTCCTATGGATATAGTGCAGCAGGTTTGAATCTGCGCAGAGAGACCCGCAGCTGGGTGGCACGTAGCAAATGTTGGGGGTTTTCTGTTCTCAGAAGGCATGACACAAAGCATCCCGGGCAGCAAGAGACAGAAGCAGCTGCAGCGTCGTTCCGATTCCGTCAAGTAGTGGTGGTTTCCGTCGGGAGGTGGTGGTTATTGCTGCGACAGTAAAGCACTCCGGTTGGCTTTCATCTTCTCCAAACGTTTCACTAGGTGCCCATTGCTCACCTCAAGCTCTTCAGTTTTATCCAGTGCTGAACGAAGCTGAAGGAAGGAAGGAGAAAAAAAAAAAAAAAAAAAAAAAAAAAGAAAAGGTGACTTTCACAGTGTTTTCGATTTCCAAAGAAAAATAAGGTTTGTAGCTACCAACACCAACTGACCATATTGCTGGAATTTCCTTCTGACATAAAGCCGCTGAAAATTCCTTTTTGTAGAGTTAAAAGTAAATGTTGTGTAACTGCTTTGAAAGCCACACACACACACAGGTATTTTCTAAGCATGCCAAGAATCCAAGGTATTTACAGAATGTTGAACAACTGGCTCAGAATTTTCCACAACTCCAGAGGCATGAGGCTCAGAGGTATCTGCTGGGTGATGTACACCTGTCTCACCGCTCAGCTTTTACGTTTCTGGTTCCCAGAACTACATCCACAGCCTTAGTTTCCTATAAAACCCACCACAGGATGGGGGTAGGGAGAGAGAGCTGGACTGCACATAGCAGTACTTATAGGCAGTAGAGCAGAAGGAGTATTCAGAAAAAGCAAAGAGCCACACTGAAAAAAAATCAAACACCTCAGGATGCAGGAGTGAGAGAAGCTGATAAAGGTATTCAGGCTGGTTGTGGGCAGCTACCTGGAAAGAACCTGGAAAGTTTGGAAAGAAAAATAAGGTGAAAATTACAGATGACTTGAAGATGCAACACTTTTAAAAGACAGAAACATGGACAGAATCTGTGGACAGCCACACTACAGCAAACAGGCGTGAAGAGATTGACAGAGCAAGAAAAAAAAGCTCACAGAGAACGACTCACATCCCTTTAGCCTTCGAATTTAGACTCTGACCTTGAAAGTTTAGACTCTCATTCCTGGCAAGGTGTGGCACTGTTCTTAAATCATGAAGCACCCAAACTAAGTTTACAGCAGAGTTTGCAGCTTTCTACTGCTGTAATTTCTGAACCACATGTTCTCAAGAGACCAGTGATGTGTGTTTACAAACCCAGAATTTATACATCCCAAAGTAATGAGCCTCTAGGTACAGTCGAGGACAAGGACAGCAAAGTAGAAATAGGAACTTTTCAGCTTGACAAATGTGGAACCACAGGAACATTCACAGCTGCAAACCTGAGCATTTGAAGGCTGCTTCCAGGTTCAGTTGTACAATGGAACTCGAGTTTGCTCCAGAGAACCAGCTCTGGTACAAATCAAGGCACAGCAAGCCAGTTTAGGAAGGAATGATGAAACAGCAGTGGGAGTTCACAGTTGAGACTGTTACTCCAGTCTGAGCACCGAAAGTTTGGTTGTACATTTAGAATTAATAGCTAAATCATATAAAAAAATTAGATGTTTATTCTTTGCTGTGCCAATAAGGGCGGTTCCTCCTCTAAAACATACCAGGGGTGCAGGTCTCCCCACACACAGAGCAGGCTGATTGCTGGCCTGTGACAGCCTGCAGTTGGAGTTACCTCTCTCTGTAGTTTGCGTTTCTCTGCTTTCAGTTCATCTTCTACTCTTTCAGCATTTTCAGCAGCAGTTTTGTATCGGGCTACCTGACCTTCCAGTCGTATTACCTAAGGTGAAGGCAAAGTTTCTGAATTAAAAGCTGTACCAAGAAGTTACTCTGAAGGTTTACTCTCCCACTAGTACTCAAGGAATAACCAGAGAGATGCTCACTCCTCATTAATAAAATAAGGCACATTTTCAGAAAAAAAAAATATACCAAGGAAGCATGGCAACAGTAACCTACTCCAGACCTTTTACATATATCCATATTTAAACATGCTTCCAGCAACAAAAGATACAGTCCATTGACTAAAATTCTCTTTGCAAGAGCATCAACTGATGTAGTCTGGACAAGAGCAAACAATCAAAATTGAACAGCTGTGTATAAAATCCATACTTATACATCATATGCCAGGAGCCATTTAAGACTTGTCAATAGCTGGGCATAAGGAAGTATTCTGCAGAGTTCAGCAAGTGCTCTCAATATACCTTTGTCTTTGAACGTTTTTCCTTCATTTCAGATTAATAATATATTCCCTCTTCCCCAAACGTAAATTAAAGCATTTCAGTCCTAGTAGCCCTAATGCTCCAACACTCCTCTTTCTTATTTGAAGAGAAAATCACAGTAATCATAATTTCATTTATCATATAACAAAATACACTTTCTCTTTGCATTCTCACCGTGCCTAAACAAACAGAACAAGCCAAAAACTTACATTCTGCTCCAATGCTGTTATCTCTTGCTCAGACTTTGCTAGTTTAAATTTGAGATCACTGATCTGTCTGTTGGCATCTCCTAAAAAAATTGCAGATTTATCAGAGATGTCAGAACATGTGTTAGCAGTTTCTAACAAGTCTGTCATAAAATTTCCATGCATCAGGGATCTGCAGCAGTAGAGTAGTTCTCTGTCAAAAAGTGCCCAGCTATAGATAGGCACTATTCCCATTCTTGCCTGATTCCCTTACGACCACTCTGAAAGCAGAATTAACCTGAATTCACCCCAGCTCTCCTGAGGAGCAATAATACAGATTCCCAACTGCAATCTTACTCCAACAAAGGCTCCTAATTCCCTCACCTCTATAGAGGTGCAGAGCTGAAGCTCCTTAAGAACTGAGGGGTCACTTTTACTCAGTCATGTGGTTCTACATTTTCTCACCCGCATGCAGGGCACAAAATTCCCTTAAAATCAAAATGCAGCTCACTTTGGAGATCAATCATGTGCATATCTGTCCCATTTTCCAGAACTTCATCTTCTGACTGTGTGTTATCCATCTTGCCATTCTTTTGCTTTTCTTCTAGTTGTCCCTTTAATTTTTTAATCTGAAGAACACAAAATAGTTATTAAAGTTACTGAGAAAAATTGTGGCTCAGTACTCAAAATCATTCAAGTATTATAAAACAAATTATATATTTTTTAAACCTAAATTCCAGAAAATCTTTTATTACAAAATAATGTCCCAGAAATTCTTTTGGCAAATGACTCATCATATTTTACACATCAGTGCTTATGTATAAATTCAGGACCAAACACAATGAGTGGAAGAAGGTTATTTTACTAGAAAAGGCATAAATGTTCTGCAGGCACATTCATGTAAAACATTCTTAAAAACTCCCAAAGCTGTGTCTGGGTGTGTGCAAGTCTCAAGGTCAAGGATCTAGAGTGTAAATGAAAGCACAGAGTGACCTGCAGAGAAACAGATCAGCTGAAATTTTCTGAATAAACTTTATATTCTCTATGGAATATCACGGAACCAGCAAAAACCACTTTAATTGCTATTTACCCACCTACAGCAATTCTTCCACCATTTCTTTCCGAATGGCCCATTACCCACAGACCCAGCAATCCAGAGGGCTGACTCTTGGAAGTGAAATTTGCTGAGCCATGGTTGTTTTACCCTTGGCCTTGGCCAATGTGAAGTACTATTCTTCAGAAATAATCCTGGAGAAGGAGCTTTAGGTGACTGAGGACACTGAACGTGACAGGTTAGCAGTGTGGAACAGGCACACTGGGTGGCACTGCTCTTCCCATGTATCCTGAATTAATGTGCAGGAGAAACCTTTCAGAGGAAGAACTAAGTGGCCAGCGAGGCAGCAAGTGCCCAGCAAGAGCAACCCAGCACATGTTCTGCGAGGCAGCAGCGCTGCTGCCCTACACACCTTGCCTGGGGGCTATTTTCTTAATCCCTGTTATTCTTATTAGAGATTTTGTAAATAGCATTTCCCTTTCCCCGTGATTACCTGGTCTAGGAGGGATTCTCGTTCATCAATGAGCCTTTTCAGCCTGTCTGAAAGATAAGAGTGAAGGTTCAGTGCTGACGTGATCGCGCGGCACGTTCCGGAGCGCATCTGATACACGTGATGAACCGTTAAGGTTAGTGGAACTACTGGTGGAGGGAGTTATGCACGTACCACAGGAAATGAGGCCACAGACAGGGCTGGGAAGGGGCTGCAGCCAGGGGAGGTTATGTCATTCTCACAGAACATGCTTGTCACGGCAGTAGCTGCATGCAAAGAGGCTAATCTTCTACGTTAGGTTAGCATGCAAGAACTCTAGGGTCAAACACAACTGCAACACAAAATCTCACAAATCTTTACAGTTTAGCACAATGAAAATACTGTAAAAACCTATAACCATAGCTAAGCACGTTCTCAGCACTTTAAATCTTCCCTTCTTTTACGTGGCAATGACATTTTGTCTTCAATATTATGACCAGAAAAACATTTGCCCATCAAATTATTTGTGTTTTGAATGCAGCAGTCTGGTAAAACCTTCTTTTCTCTTCACAGTCAATTCTCCATGTCAGACATCAAGAGGCCATGGGCAATCTGGGCCAGCTGTTGTGCTACACTTGCACTTGGAAGTGCTACATGGTCAGCACATGGATATGTGTGGCTTTCATTAGTGAAGACCACTCTACAGACTGAGACAACTGGAAAAAAGAAGTACAAATAAAGTAACCAAATTGCTTGTGTTTTTTCCTTCCCTGTTAAGGGGTGCAAAACATGAAAGCATTTTATCAGGTGCTCACACATTCTCTTATCACTAAAATTATCTCATTAATTAACAACCTCTGTTCAGGTACACCTCAAGCAGAAGTGCACTGGAACATAGCACTCAAATGCACTTCTTAGAAGAGGCTCTGTTGACCTCAGCCGAGTCTTAGTCCCCAGGTCTGACGTGGGTGTTTACTGCAGGTTTATTTAGCCTGCCTCCCTTGCCAGCAGGCAGCCACCTGGGCAGAACCCAGGGTGTTCAGAGCTCAACTCCACAGCTGAGGTCTTAAATGGTTAAAATCCAAAGGTCTCTCAAGAAAAAGGTCTTTTTGTAAACCTAAGGAAAGCAAATTGACAAATTACAGGTAAGAGCCTGGTGGGTTTTTACCAGGTAAATTCTGTTGACAGTGTGACTTAAATGTTTTTGAAGAGCTTTAAAAATGCCAGTCCTCCTTTGTCCTTAAATCCTGAACGGGCCAAAGTCTTGTGGTTCTTGTGGTTCTCCCTTTTTTCTTGTTAGCACGCCCAGTTAAAGGGAATAAAGAGTCTGCATTTAATCAAATCATGGGGAAAACTGGTTTTCAAATGAAAGTCCCTCTGTGCAGCAGACATATACAGTCCATTAGCTAGCAATAATGTGGTATGTCATTCCCCTCCTGGCTATACAAATTCCCATACACCAGCAGTCATACCAGAGCATGGAATAAAACCTTTACCTTGGCTTCTGATGCAATACCCCAATACAGATCTTAATGTGACATCCCAGTGCAGTTACTCTATGCCATCATTTTAATCCTTCTCAAGTCCTATCTTTTTTTTTTTTACTCAACTGTTACACCTGAGCATTTCTATGGAAAAACAAAATAAACAAAACCAACAGAAAACTCACATTTTCATAAACTATCAAGAGTAACCACAATTTACAGGTATAAACCCTTTCAAAATAATACTTTCACAGATCTATATGGGAAGGAAAGGAAACTTACAGAAATTCTGTAAAAGATGAAAGATAAAGAAAAATAAAGGACAATGAAGAAAGCAAGGAGAGCAAACAGTAAAAGACAGGTTGAAGATACTAGGAGATAGTTTTGGGAGTCACAGGTCAGCAAAGACTGAGAAATGGAGTTCTAAGGACTGGAAGGAGAATGAGGACTGAGGCAGCAGGAAACCTCTGGGCCACTACAAAATTAGCCCAAACTTACTGACTCTAAAGGACCCAAATAATCCACCTTGATCCTGAAAATAATTTAGTTGTAACTTTAATTAACACAACCACTGCTGTGGGGTGAAACACACCTGCCTGAAGAAAGGACACCTCCTCCAGCTTCCAGGAAGGGAGCATATCAGCTTCCCCCAAGCCCTTTCCCTGCAAAGTGGATGTTAGCAGTTTGGGATGAACCTTCAAATCCCATCTCACCATCAGTCCTCTCTTCCCTCATTATGGACATCTGTGCACCCCTCTGGGACATGCTGGCAGCAGGATTTACAGGACCAGGAAGAAAACTAGTTTGGAAAATTGCTTTTTATGTAGGAAAGTTTTCTACCCATAGAAATGAAGGTCTTTGAGATTTCACTTATCTTTTAAACCCCCACACTAACACAGAAAACTTACTTTATCTTTCCTATCTCTGCAGTCACCTTAATTTTGCATTTAGGAGACATTTTTCCAACAAATTAAGGATCTGAGGACTTTGAGAGCAGGTGAACAGGAAAGAGCAATTTCCTGAATTAGGACACTGAAGCAGCTAATTTAAATTCTTATCTGTAACAGTCATTATCCTTATTTCACATACAAAGATACTACAGTGAATAATTAGAGTGTGACATTCACCTCACTTCACTTTGGAAAACATGAATCCCAGGATATTCACTGCACCAGTTCATGGCTTTCACACACACAGGAGTTTAACAGAGGACTGAAGGAGGAATGGGGCCTGTGAGGGAGCAGGACACAGGGGGGTGATGGTGATCAGTGTCTTATGGTTTGTGAATGAAATGACTGTTCTCATTGCCTTGGCACTGCAGGTGACTCGAGGCACTGCTAACTCGGGTGCTGCTTCAGTGGCACCATTGACCAAACATCCTCAAATCAGTCACAGATCCTCCATGGCTCTTCCCATTAGGAGGGATGGGATGGAGCTTCCCATGGGATGGGAAGGAGCTGTTTTTATCTGCATGACTCACATGATGTGTGGCCCGCAAAGTAATTAATCATTATGCAAATGAAAGGATAAATTCTACTTGGAGGATGGAAAGGCATTGCATGAAATCACAGCAGCAGCCCCAAGCAGCTGTTCAGAATAGCCTGCAGGAATACGACTCTGGGATCGTTAGCAGGTTAGACAATACTCCTTTCTCCAGATCTGTCCATTTATTTGGATCATGAGAAAACAACATAAAATATTGAGAAATGCCTTCCTGTCTTTCTCAGAAGAGGGATACTGCTGGGGACAGCACAGGATTTGGAAAACACCAGCTTGCAATACTGATTTTGAAGGGAACAGGAGGACTGTTCTTTTCTGTAGTAAAGGAAATATTGACAAAGATCTTTTCACTATTTTTGTTTCCTTTTTCATCAGGTACTTTTCTTCAGCTATTGCTTCTAAAAGCATTTCAGGCTAGCTCTGAATGTGCAGTTATGCACAAACCTGGGCTACAGGCTACATGTGGCACCAGGTGTTGAACAGAAAACCCAGCAAGCATTTGGGGCTATTCTAAAAGACAAAAGTCTCATCTTTGGGTCACATACTCATATTTGAAAGCCAAAACCACCAAAGAAAGTGACAAGCCAGGTGTTTTCTTCTATCTGTTACCTGTTGCAGGGGAAATGCCAAAAATGTTTTCAATTGCGTAACTTCACAAAAGATGCATTTTCTAGGTAATTCCTCCTGAGACACTATCTCCTCTCCCTCTCTAATGGCACACATTTCACTCAGTGCTGGCTGACATAAAATGCTGAAATTATTAAGTTTTGAATATAACATCTAGTAGTTCCCTTTACCATCAAGGTAATTTACCTGGGAGACCTCCTGCTCTCTCTCGATGTGCAAATACTCAAGCAAAACCAAAGAGGTAAAACAATACCGTGACCACCTCTTCCACGGTACTTGCCCAATTCCAGACGTCAGGGACCAGGTGCCAACAGAAGTAACAAGCAGCTAATGTTCCAGTATGGATTTCTGGCACATCAGCTACTCTGCACTGCCTGTCCATGTTCTTGCTCCTGCCCTATTTACACTGAGAGTGCGATAAAAGCTGGTATGTGGACAGGCAAGACTGGAGTTGTTTCTCCTTCTCTGACCTGGCTTTGTTTTATGAAGTTAAAAAACTCGTTAAAAATCAGCTCATCAGTGATTCCCTCAACCACCCAGATGCCTTTTGATTAGAAATCAACTTGGATAAAAAATCCAGGAAATTAGCATGTGGCTAATTTAACTCAGATAGATCCATCCACATGTACAGGTGAAGCCTGGGAAGCACATTTAATGATGTATTTAAATGTATTTAACATTTAAAAAGCACTTTCAACATTAAACCAGATATTACTGTTGAGAGTATAGCAGAGCCAAATCTTTAAATAAACACTGCTACATGTTAATAAGAAATGCTCTTAAGATCTATGACTTTTTGGATTAGCATTTAGTGTAAACCCTTTAAGAATAACTGCTGATACTTACAGAAACCATGGTGGATCTGCTGTAAGGTGGAGAGAAGCCATATGAAAGGAGTTACAGGGTTACAGACCTGTTAGAGGTTTACAGTTAAGGGTGCCATCATATATTCAAGGTCCTCAAACCCCGAGGCTGCCCCGTCCTAGGAAGATCGCTCTTCCAGCTACGCAGCACAACGCAATAAACTGAACAAAGCTGCAGAAAAATGCGTTTGAAATTATACAGATTTAAATAACTATTTATGCAGGTTTAGAAACAGTGCTCTGGACAGGGAATTTAAAGTATAAAATATGTTTATTTAAATTATATACAGCAGCACATTTTGATATACATTTTGAAATTTTGCATTCTGTCTGTACTCTATCAGCTTTGTAACATCAGTACAAACACAGCCTTCCATAGCCCCCACCCCCCCTCAATTTGCATTTTCTTGTGACGCTCATTGCCTAAAACAACTTTAAATGAATATTCATGTATGCAAAACATGCTCTTCCTCCCAAGCACTAGCAAAGATGCAAGAAAAAAATCCAGCAATGGAGTCCAAGTGTCTAATTTATGCCAGGAATTCAAAGCAATCCAGCTTTTCCAAAAAGCACGGGGGCTAGTACACAGAACAACAGTCATCTTTGGTCTGATACCCAAAAAGAGTTAAGACATGCAAACTTATCTTCTGTCCAGAATGGAGGAGGTAAGATTGTTTCAGAGATAAAAACATTCTTTCAGAATCATAGCAAGCAAAAAATATAATGCAGTAAGCAAATGCAATTTTGAACAAAAATCTTCTTGGAAAAATAGATATTTTATACATTCATATCTAGACAGTACTTAAGAGCAGACCTAAGCACACATTACAGTGTGTATTGACACTTTCTCTGGAAAAAATAAAAAACCCATGTGAGACATGGTGTGAAAGGCCTATTGTGGTGCAAAGTGCCTAGATGAAGTAAACATGTATATATTTTTTCCTTTCAGCAAACTAAGACCTGTATGTTGCACTTTCTTCAAACTGTATATTGGTCTTCCAAAGTGCTTGGACTAAGCAGATTCACAGTGATCCTACTATATTTTGGAATGTGACCATATTAGAAATACACGCAAAGTGGAATGAAAATATCTTTTCCATATTAAAAAAATAAGATTAGTTCATAGATTTTAATCATTCTGAAAGAAGTTTCAACATCAGTGTGGCTGATCTGATGAGTTCCTTCATGAAGTGTTAATGTACTTACTGCAGATCTAAGCAGAAGTAAGCATGTGCATAAGTTCATAAAGGTTCCATGCACATATGTACATTCAGGACATCTGTCATCTAGCCTAGAATAAAAAAATGCCTACAGAAAATCCTCAGTAGCAGTTATCCACACTAGAGGTATGATAGTCTGCATGGTCGATTTGTGAAGCTTTTAACCTGAGACACAGCAAAACAAAACCCACTCATGACTTCCTGTGGCCAGGTATGTCAGCGAATAACTTAATACTTGCATCACTACCACGTACATACATTGCATTATGATGAGTTACCTATAAAGAAAAAGCTGTAAGAGTATTCCTAGGGTCCGGTGTCTTGTGCAAAGTGCATGTTTCTGTCCTGGGACTGGTCACATGGCATGTAACTTGTGCAGGCTTGAGATCCTGAACTTAGGATATTGTACAGTCATCTCTGGATCTACCTCTACCTTTTCTACTACCCTGCAAATCCTCCTTGCTTTCAGCCCTGTTAATGACAGCACTTTCCAAATCCTGTTCCAAAACATTTTCATCCTGTATTTTTTCCACTGAGTTAGAATCTGATGCTTTGATTTCATGTTCCATCACATCAGCCTTCTCATCAGCATTCCACAATGCTTCCCCTTGCAAGCACCCTGTTTCTTCAGGTTCATCTTGTTTATGCTGCAAGCTGTCGTCTTTGGTCAAGGCATCTTTGGTTCCCATTTGGTCTGTTCCTTCTCCAGGTTTGTCTGTGTGGGCAGTTTTTCCAACAGCACCATTTGCTCCATCACCCTCTTCTTTCTGTGTTTGAGTTTTCTCTCCATCACATTTTTCATCAGATTCTAGTATTTGATTTGACTCTTCATCAAAATCAAATGCATCACCATCATCTTCCAGGCTTTCCTCTGCTTGATCCTCCAATTTAACTTGTTCACTAACTTCTTCATCCTGCTCAGCTTTCTGTGCCAGGGAATTATTTGCACGTTCCTCAGAAGCAAGTTCCCCACCATGGTGGTCTGTAAGCTCTAATTCTTGCTCATTTTCTTTCAGTGTTTCTTTATCAGCTTTGTTTTCAGTAGTTACACTAACACCTACACTTGACTCCTCTTTAGATTCATCTTTCTCTTGTATGACCACCTTCTGCACTTCACCTTCTAAAGGAATATTTTTCTCTGCTTCTGTACTACCTGCTGTTTCTTCACTACACTGAACTGTTTGAACTTCTACCTCTGGCTTTAAATCTTCTACCCATTCTGTACTACTTTCCTTTCCTTTCTCAGATTCATCCCCTGTTTCCAATTCTGACTCCTTAATTTTATCATCTGAAAGACTTGGGTCTAAACTGGTTTCCTGAGCCGTCACCTCTTTCACAACATTGGTGCCTGGCTGTGCCTGCTGCAGCACACTCCCTTCTACCTCAGGAATACAGCCCTCTGCCTCCACAGATGGCATATCTTGCTCCCCTGTGTCTGCAGAACCTGAACACTTCTTCAGCTCTTCCATAGATTCTTCCTCCTGTCTGTCCTTCTCAGCTGCAGCATTTTCAGGTTCAGTTTTATCTTGTGTACTTTGTTCCTCTGATGATGCTGAAGGACTGTCCCCTGATGAAACTGGCTGGGTGAATGCCTGATGTCCTCCACATTCCTTTTCAAGTGACTCTTCTGGGACACCTCTTTCACAGGACTCCATCCCCTCCACACCCACAGACTCAGTTTCCCTTGGCTGACCCTCAACTGCGTTCCCAACCTCATTTTCTTCTTCAGCTTCATCCCCTCCTGTTTCATCAGTTCTTCCATCGGTGCAGTCTTTGCTTTCAACAAGCTTTCCCTCCAAGACATCTGTAACCTTGTTTTCAGCACTTTCTTCTGAGTGCTGGAGTTCCTCTGGAGTGGAACTCTCTACATTTCCCTCTTCCCTAAGCAAGCCTCCCACTGCACCCTCTAGTAGCCCTGCCTGGTTAAAAACCAGCTCACTGCTCTCACTTGTACTGTTGGCTTCTTGACCCATTTCATTATCACTTAGGTCATGGCTAGTTTTAAGATCCTCTTGTTCTTCTTGCTTGGGTGCAGCTTCTCCCAGTTCCTGCTCTGTACCTATGTCACAAAGCATTTCCTGAGAAGTCTCAGAAATCTGATGGCCTTGCAGAGAGCCCACCTCCGAGTTCTCGTCTGTCCCTGCACTCGAGTCACGGTGTTCAGCCTCTGTACTATCAGGCTGCTGGGCCAATGTGCCTGTGGACTCTGTCACCTTTGTCAGATCATCTGTGTCACTACCATTGTTGGAAGAAGTGCTCCCTGACAAAGGTTCTGTAAGGCTTTGAGCTTGCTCTGCAAACCTACTATCTGGGAGCATCACTGTTGACAGGGCGTCACGTTCTTCAACCATTTTTTCTGCCTTTGCATTTTCAGCAGCATGCAATGTCTGTACTTCCTGCTCCTCAGACTCCTCTTTGTGTTCCTCATGCTCAGTATTCTGCATGATTTCTCTTTTCCCCACATCCTCCAAAATCTCATTTTTCATCTCCACTTCATTGGCTTTGCCTAAAAGACCATTGAGAAAGTTGAAGGGACCACACCACAGCACTTACCTCCCCATTTAAAACCCGAAAGAGAGAATGAATCAAAGAACAGGTTAATAAGAGATCAGCTTTTGCCAATTATGTGAGGCAAAGCAGCAATTGAATTAGTAAGGGTCTGGAGGTTTTGATCAGTGAAACTCACCACCGCCCTCTCAAAGCAAGAAGTCTCTGGTGCTGGCTTGTGTTTTTGGAAAGGAGATTTATGCTCTTGCCTGTGTGAATTACAGCTTCCGCTGAGGAGAACGACTGTTTGAAGCAGTGCAATTTAACAGCAATACTTGCAGATGTACCTTTAAAGGTTGTATTTCCTCAGCAATATTCTCTACAACTTCAGTCCTGACACCCCTCTATGCATGCAGGGGTCTGATGCCATTACAATGAAGTCACGAAGGATTATTCAGTAATATTTTACTTTTAATACCACAAACAGGCATCATCATCAGTGTGCATGACAGACACTGAATGTAAAATCTGATTGGCAAGCAAATGGTTTGGCTGTTCAGCACTCCCAACACAGAGCAGAGCTCAGGTACTCTGTGCCCCTTACAGCCACCCAAAGGGATGAGGACTTCTGTGGTTTTTGGAAAAGTGTGGGGTTTTTTTTTTTTTTTGTTGTAACAATTTTTCTTCCTACTTATATTTAGAAGCAACAGGTATTAAAACAATAGTGTTTGTGGTTAGTTAGCTTTTGGATCTATGTTGTACCTATTTCTCAAAAAAAAAAACAAACCCAGAATTAGGAAATACAGAAAACATACTGCATTTAAAAATACACCCTTACCTCAGTTTTTGGTGTTCCATATTGTTTCCATACAGAAACTGAGTGAGGAAAAAGCAGCCAAAAGCTCAAAGCAAGAAAACTTGCACTTGGAACAGTTGGCTGCCTGATGCTATTTATGCATGTTCATTTAGAACACAAAAACCCAACAAACCAAAAATATTACTTCCTTTTCTTACACTAGTACAATAGTTCTCTGAGTGGCCATTCATCACAACTGTGTAAGAAGATTTTTGCCAACCAGATTTCTCCTTCCTAATGCTATCCATGTCAATTATATTCTTTCAATTAAATGTTAATGTAAGAACCTAAAATGTTGAAGTATTAAATTAACTGCTCAATAGTACAGGATTACCAGGGACAAAGAATTCATCCTTTAGTATGGTGCAATAGTGCCCAGCACTGTTGTTCAAGCAGACACTTCCAGTTCACAGGGATATAAATGAACCAACATACAAGTTCTTTATAGAAAACTAAAATGCTTTTTGTTTCCTTATCAGAATTATCCTGGGACAACTTTCAAATTCAGGGTTTAAATAGTAATGTGAATGGCTGCTACTTATCTGTAATGTACTGTTTGTACTCTCATCCTTTGCCGCCTTGGAAGGGAAATGAAGTTTGCCCTTGCTGGAAACTGCACAACAAACTGGGAGTGATAATCAATATTAAGCAGAAAAATGCATAGGAAGTGATTTGACAAGTAGCATGCTGCGTGATGTGTTAATTGTCCCACTAACAAATGCCCAAATTCAAGCAAAGATGGATGAATGAATGACAGACAGGCAGGAAGATCTGAAAGGACATACAGCACTTACCTAGCATCCCCTCCCCTCCTGTCTTTAATGCCTGAGTTGTGCCTGGAACAGTTCTGGAAGAATCCAAGTGTCCTTCGTTATCAAGAATGTCTGATGTCTCCCCATTGGTGGCTACATCAGAGTCAGGGATTATTCCATGTTTCTGTAGAGAAGGGAAAGCAATGCTTTAGAGTCTGCTGCTCAGAAAGAGAGGGATTGTTAAGTATTCTTGTCCGTGATACTCTGAATAAACAATTGCTTCAATCATTCCATTAAACATGGCTGGAAGTCAGGAAAGAGAACAGATACTGCAGTTCTCAGTTTAGCCATTCTGACAGGAAGCATGTCATCCCAGCTCTTTTTTTTTTTTTTAAACAAAAATCTGCAGCATAAAATGTTCCTCAGATCAGCATCTCCTACAAAAGCAAGTCCTTATTACTCTCGTCTACACTAAGAAGTCACAATCAATAGTAGGGGGAAGGACTTAATGTAGAAAATTCCTGAAATGGCAACTTACAGGCAACATGAAAATCAAGTTATTACTATTGAGGTAGATTTAAATTTTCTGCCAGAATGTACAGGAGAAAAAGGTCAGCAGTTGATTGCAAATTTCTTTTATTCCTCTTGCATACCTTCAGTTGCTCCTTCAGCACAAGCACTTCATCTCTAAGGTCATCCCGCTCACTCCTTATGGAATCAAAGAAATCTTTCTGCCTCTCTAGTGCCTGAGTTCCCGACAGAGACAGAGGGCGAGGAGGTGTGAAGAAAGGAAGGTAGACAAGTAAAGGCCATGAAAAGCAAGTGCAAACAAGAATGAGTAGATTTAAGATATTCAGAGACTGATGGAAGGGGCACGGATGAAAAAAGGTCAAGTTTACAGATTACAGGACCGAGTTTACATACAGAGAGATAAACTTCAAATCCAAGAAATGCACAGCTTATTCAATAACCAGACATTCAGAGCCCAATCCTTCATTAGAGATCCTTCAAATGAGGATCCAAGTGTTATTCTTATCTGCTAGACAGGTTAATCCATATCCATATTACTTCAACATGCACACTGAACGTATGTTAACAGAAGGGCATGGAAGCAGGCCCCCTGGATTTCAGGACTCTTTTTATTCCATGGGTTACCATCATGGGTGCAGTACATTTCAATTAATTTGAAAGCTGCCACTATGTCATCCTTAGTCTGGGATGCACCATGTGCAAATGCATATTTTGCCACTGACCCCCCCCCAATATTTCTATGTAAGTACAAATAGAACCATAAAAAAATGGGACCATTTTCAGTTTCAAGCTGATACGAATTATTGGACATCACAAGCACGGGCAAGCTGCCAGATTTCCTCCTCCTATATTCAGAAAGTCTTTCACAGTGCTCAGTTGGAAAAGAAAGCCAGGCTGTTCTTTAAGAGTGGGTTTCCATGTGGCTTTGACAAGGGGTGGTGGGAAGGGATAAGAAGCATGGGAGACTTTCATCCCAATAGCCTATAAATAGCTCTATTACCTCTTTATCCCACTCCAGTTTCTGCTCAGTCCACAGATTAAATCTGAATAAGCGAAAATTCAGTGCTGATGGAATTGCATTATAAATAGCACTTCCTTTCTCGATATGGCAAATGCAAATGGTGCAGCACAGCAAATAAACTACCCTTGGTCTGCAATCAGACCAGCTGCTAGATTTTTCTTGGATTTGTGACACTGGCCAAAGACAAAACTTGCTATTTGCTAGTCACACCAAGCAAAGGCACTAAGGAGGGTTTTATTCATGGGGTTTTACAGAAGCAGAATCAGGTGGAGAATGACACTCTGAAGACATTTCAGGAGTTGACAAGTCCTACCCCTATTTTTTTGTCTTTCCACTCTATTGTCTCCTGAAGGTCGGAAATTTCCCTGACATAGCTCTGCTGTTTCTGTTGCAGCTGTTGGATTTCCTGAGGGACAGGAGCAAAGCAAGAAGACAGAAAGCAGGTAACAGGTTAACAAAGAAGGTCAAGATTGCAGTGATGCCAAAGAAAGAAAAAAGTCAGGTGCTAAAGTAAAAAGAGTATCTACATGCACAGCTTCTGACATCTCAGCTGAACCTGTGCTCCTGAAGAAAATCTTATTATCCACGAGATGACTTAATACAAGTTATACAGTTATTTTCCTCTGCATCTCCACAAACAGCTGTCCAAAATATAAATACTTGGGAAGAATGAGATAATGTTTAGGAAAGTACTATTTCCATTAGTCAGCTCCGAACCTGTTTGGCCTGAAACACTAATATTTCTTCAGGTGAGAAACTTGAGTAGGCAATAAAATTCTCCTTGCCTCACCTTCTCTACTCCTAGTGCTTACTGGGAATGTACCAAACAAAGAAGCCATTAAAAAAAAAAAGTTACTTACTGCAAGCATTTCTTCTCTTTGCTTCAAAGCCTCTTTGATTTCCATGAACTGAAACTGCAATATGCTATGAGCATGCTTCTCCCTCTCAAATTCCTACAAATAATGAAATATGCATGAAATTATTATTAATCAAAAATAGTTTCCCATAAAAAAGGGGGAAACAAGCCCAAACACAAAGGAAATGCTTACTGAAATGTAATTTTTGAATATCCCTCTAATCACAATCCCACAAGAGTACAATTTTTATCTCATTTGTCCTTTTTCCAAGATCAAATATAGAAGTGACAATCATCATTTAGCCCATTTCATAAGTTGAGCAGCAGGCTGGCAGTGAAGACCTTTTACACTCCAGCCCTACAGAATGAAAGGATGGGAATTTAACCCATTCTTTCCACATGGTCACATACTAAAAGTTAACTGGACTTATTAAAATAAAAAGAAAAAAACACACTGTATCTTCCAGGAACCATGTTTTGAGGTGCACTGTAGTCAAATGCCATAAGCTAAAAACAGACAGTTCTGAAAAACTAACCCAAGCCTCGGTTTTATCATTTAACACCAAATCACTAGCTGTCAGATGCTGAATTCATGTAAAACTTAATTCAACACTTAACCATGGAGCTGCCTATTTGAACTGCACAACTCTCCCATGGCCTGTCTGGAGACACCTTTGTGTGTAACAATGCTCCAGACATCCCTACAGACAAACCCCCTGAACTTAAAGATGAAATATAAACTAGAGATGTGATAATACCAATATGGCCTTTTACCATCTAAAACATTTCTTCCCTTTTTCAGAAATTGCTTTGTAAGACAAACTTAGGGAAAATGCCCATTTGTAGGAGACAAGTACATAATATGCTGCTATTCCACTTGCCTTAATATTAATTAAACCAGTAACTTATTCAAAAATTTGAATAGTAATTTGGTTGCCTCCTCACAAAGGTCTCTGCCCACCTCCAAATCTTCCCCTGTTATTTACCATGCCATACATATACATACTTTACTTTTTTCTTCATATTGCCTCCTGGATTCTGCCAGCTGTTCTTCTAACTCTAGGAGTGCATCCTTCAGGGTGTCTACTTGGTACATAAAATTGGTTTTTTCATTGTCTAGTTGAGCATTTGACACCATAGCCTTTTTGTATTTCTCTTCAACTTCAGCTAGAGAGTCCTGAAAGGAATAACCAACCCCAGTCAGAGCCAGAAATAAAGGACACTTCACCAAGCAAGACCTCCAGTGAGAAAAATAAAGTACCAAAACACAAGCACACCAAGTCTGCCTATGGAAACCAGCACTATTCATGTACTGGAGGCTTCCCAGCTGCCCCAAGGTGAGGATAACCTCCTGTGTTCCCACCACACTGGTGACTACAAGCAAGGAGCCTTACCTCAGGACAGATAAAATCCTTCCTGTTCTGTGCTGCATCAGCTTCTGCCTTCCCAGTTTTCTTCCTTCTCCCTCCTCCCCCTGCCCCTGCACATTGGCAGCTCAAAGCAGCTGCTGAAGATGACAAACTGGGATTTTTTTTTTTTTTAAAGGTAAACTGGCCTTGATTTAAGATCATTTCAGGAGATCTGAGGCCTTAAATTAAGGTAGCTTAACAGCCACTTCACACTAATTTAAAGGATCCTTGCAGTGTGGGAACCCCTAAATATACCGAGTCAGGCATTAGAATTAACTGTGAAAGAGAAAACTGCAGCTTTTGTGACCTGATGTATCATTTTCCATTAGGTTTCCCATATCACATCCCTTCTTTACAAATTTACTCTGTAAGATATAGTTCTCAGTATTTTGAAAACCCCTCCTTAACAGCCTGACCTAAATATAAGATACTGAGATATTTATAACAACAAATGACAGCAAAATAAAGATTAGCATAATTTTCCATGTTGTGCAGACAAACTTTGCACTATTTGATTTTAATACTGAAATAAAAGAGTTACATAAACAAAACAGAGTAAATGTGAAAACAAGGAGGACACACATGTCAACATTTTAGTTTACAGATCAAACAATTTCTCTTGGAACTTGTGTAATACTAATAATTTCAACTGAAGTAGGGTGAGTTTCATATACTTCCTTTTTCAGCCAGTAAGTGGAACTGAGGATGATAGTGGCAAAATCTGAATCATTTTAGTTTACATTTCTGTTGACAAATGAGATGATTTGTCTCTCAGGACATGAATTTGTACAGTTCCAAACACTTAACTATGTTTAGGTGCACTTTCCACCCTGAGATGAGAAATACCAGGCACAGGAAAGCCACTAGGATTTGAAAACTGTGGTAGGACCAAACCACATAAATGAGCTGGAAAGGAAGTATATGCAAGGAAGAAGTTAAGGAAGTTGCTGTTCCACATCTTTGGCATGCTACATTTTGGTTTCTTAGCATCAAGCAGTGCAGTTTAGGTGCAAATCACCCCAAAAGACAGTCTAAGGGACAGGAATTGAAAAATTACCTACATTTTTTACACCATGTGATTGTTTTGCTTACGCCAGCTACTCAGTGATCAGGGAAAAAAAGATTTTACAAAAAAAGGGCCAAAACCACTCCTCTTTCATTGTCAGCTCACTTAAGATGGCAGCATCTTCACCTGTCACAGCACTGAGCCAATGATGCAATCAGCAATTAATGCCGATAAATGTTGCATTAGATATCTATCTGCAAGACTGCCTTTTCCAAAAAACCCCACACCTCACACTGCTGCTCATTTATGAGGTGGGTTATACACAGACATAAAAGTTAGTTGTTGCACCAAAATCTGTTTATGGCTTCGTGGAAGTGGCAAGAGCTTCAGCATTCATTCTTCATGTAACAAGCTCTGTTACATAGAGTTTTGTTAGAAGGATTATTTAAGGGTGTCTTCTAAACCAAAATGACAGAAAAGAAACCAAAAAACAAACCAAAGAAAAGAAACCAAAATGACAGTCACCACCTCACATGACCTTAAAAAAATAAAAACATACAAACTTTTAAACTCTTGTTTTTAATAGTACTGTAGGACATGAGTTCTAGTTCATCTTCCAATATTGGAAGGTTTCTTGGATTAGGAGACTGTTAAAAAAACCAACCCTAATAATTTTAATTTGGTAGTAAAATGATTACCTCCTCAAACCAGCAAAGACAACATGCAATGGCAATCAGCAGACTTTTCAGTTAATATTTGGAAGCATTTCTCACCACAGTCAATCCAGGTCAGAACAGATACTTTTCCAGTTAATTAAACACTTTCCACACAGTTTCCAACCTCTCCAGAAGAACAGCATGCAAGGTCAGCTCTAGGGCTCACACTGGGGCTCTGAATGCTTAGCCAGGGTTAATGATCACACTCTCGGTCTGCAGCAAACCAGTACCTTCAATTCTTTCAGTCCCTGCATGTATTTGCCTTCTACATCCTGAATCTGGTCCTTTAACTCATAGATATCCTGAGGGAAATGGTGAGAAAGGTGAATGACGCCACGGAAACTAACAGGTAGAAGCACAGCTGGTTGGGACAAGCAAGTATTCAAAGTTCTTCTTTATATATCTCTACCACACAGGTTAAGGGGGCTGATCCTAAGCTGAAGTCTTGCCAAACAACCAGATTTATGGGTTAGAAGTTTATGATAATTATGCTTTTCTTGACTGAAAAAAATGAAATCTTCAGCGTTATGGACAAGACACAGACACAGGTTCAAAGGCTCCAACCCCAGCCCACAGCCCTTCTCTGCACCTTTCACTGATGACCACCCTCTGCCATAGCCTCCCTCCTCTTCTCTCCAGTAAGTCCACTGCTTCTTGCAGTATTTCCACCCTCCTATCAGTGGGTTTTATTGAGCCCATTCCCTATTTCAGGATCACGACCGGTTTCCTGCAACACACACCAGCTCCCCGCAGCACCTCTGACAAAGCTGATCGCTTCTCATTCACTGCACCCAATTCACTGCCAGAACTGCCAGGAGGGGCAGACAAGCCAGTTTCTTCTTGGGAAGGGAGTCTGAAGGATATTTAATCCTTTATGATGGTTTGAAGTATTTCTCACCTTGATTTCTCTAATAGATGCCTCTGTATCAGCTGAGATGGATGTGTCCCCACTGCCTCTCCGTGAAGAAGTCCCGCCCAGAGAAGCCAAGGTAGCTGCTGATAAACTTGAGACAGTACGTGCTCCCTACAATCACACCCAGGTAAACATGGTTAGAATGTTTTTTGTCCCAGATATATTGTGAGTTTGTAGGTTTTTCCCCTTTTTTTTTTTTACACATATTACACCAACCCTTGCACTTTTAAATTATGCAGATTTAATTCAAATGTAACTTTCTAAGGAAGAAAAAATCAAACTCAAGATTTAACAAGGGACACTAATGAGAAAAGGCAGATCAGATGTATTTAAATACTACTGCAATAGGAGTTTGCATGATTTAGCTTCTAACAAATAATTCTTAATTAGACAAACTCTCTAGGAGCTAATATCAACTTGCCAGACATTTTTCAAAACTTGTAATAATACATTTTTAGGATGGTTTTGACAACTTCTCAAACTCCTTTCCTTTCATGGGTATTTATCTACTCTACAGCAGTAGCCACATGAACTGTTCTCCTGTATTGAGGGTTCTGCATTAAGCTGATTGCTCACTACTGCAGTAGCCTCCTCTTTTATTACTATGATTTATTTATTTTTACATAATACCATAATTAAGATCTAATAAATAAATATTCATGTGGCTTAGCCTAAAGCAGTTTCAGCCAACTGCTGTGCTACTTCACATCTGAGTGAGCAGAGGCTGAAAAGTTCAGCTTCAAAAATGTAGTAGTAGAAGGCTCCAGCAATTAAAATTTTTGCCCCATAATGGATTTTATAGATTTTTGTGCTCATGACAAGTTCTACCTACCAAAAAGAATGAAAAAAGCACTATTGTCAGAATAATTCATCAGATCCTTCTTACCTTCTCAAAGTCTTTTTCTGGCCTTTCTTCAATCTGTAAAGAAACAAAGATTGAGAAGGATTCATTAATATAATAAATAAAGGATAAGAGAAGGTAGTAATATACCAGAAAGAGAATTCTTAAAGCTGTGAAAGACTTCTCATTAGCAATTTCTACCCACTCAAAAGGCAGCCAGCTCGTTCAGAACAGCAGTGTCCTGGCTGGTACCTCAGGGCACAAGGCTGGACAATCCACCTCCAATTTCTAGGCAGCATGTAATTAAGTGAAATATGCTTATTGATAAAAAACTACTTGGTCTATTAAATAAGGCAGAGGAATACGTTTTTCTATACATCACAATGTTTCAAACACGAAGATGACACACGATCTATGAGTTGGCAATGCAGGAGTACAAAGGTCTAGTTGGGAATGAACTCAAAGTTCCAGATGTCTTTCCCTGGACATAAACAGCTGTATGCAACTGCTGGCCTGACAAATGCAGCTGCTCCTATTTACTTTACAACAATTTAAAAATATGCCTGAAATGAACCCCAAATAGTAATTCACTTAAAGAGAGAAGGGAAGTTTGGTTTTTTTAATTGGAAGATCAACAGATTTCCAGACCAAGGTAGCTTCTTGAAAGTTGCATTTTTTATGGACGTTAACTAAAAAAAGGCACCTCTGAAGCCTGACACTTAATCCTCCCTGGTCCCAAAAAACAAGGTATCAAGTTAAGACTTGAAATCTACACCTTAAAAACCTCTGGTAAATATTCCCCACTCAAGAAAAACAGCAACTGCAACTTCAAGCAGAGATCCAAGACTACAAAACTGATCCTCAAGTCAAATATCATGAGATCAGCTCAAAGTCTAACTAAACAGCTCTTTTAGGGTTTCAGTACTGCACTGCAATTTACTAATTCAGAGGAGATCCTGCACTAAAACTAGTCTAGAAGAAACAAAGCAAAATAGTATTTAGGAGTACAGAAAATTACCATGGATACAAACAGCTTAAACGTTTAAAAGAAAGTTAAAGAACAAGACCCACGTACAACACCAGTGGGAATTTCTTCCTTGATGGGAACCATCTTATCAACTTTTTCCTGCTCTGAACTGAAATGAAATATACACTTTGCCAAGAACTAATTATAAAAAGGACTGAATGAAATGAAAAACTTAGCAGAACTCAAGAACTCCTGAACTAGTCAAATTCTTCTGGGAACATTTCAGCATCAGAGTCAAGATGGTTTCCCAAAGGAATCCTAGAAACTAAGGGCTTCCCCAGAACAAGAGACTAAGAGCCAAAGACAATAGTGTTTTTTGAAATTAAAGGAAAAATAATCAGGATAGACCCTATTCAGGGGAAGGCTGGGGACAGTTGTGGTTTAACCAGTAATTTCCATTGACAACACACTCAAAAACTACCTCTCCTTCCAATCAGTTCAGGGGGTGGGGTTATCTGAATTATGCAGAATAATATGGGGATGATCCAGCTCATTATTTTTTTATATTATCCATGGTACCCTATTAAAAAAAAAATCTGAGAACTGAGAGGTACCTATTACAAATCAGCTTCTTACACTGACAACACATCTCGTAGCATAAATGCCCTATGAATTAGCATTAAAAAGTTTAAGTCTGAGGCTTGGAAGTAAAATAAGCCAGACTTAAAGCTCTAGGTCTAACTTCACAAAGACACTGAATACACAAAATACTTAGGAAAAAACCCTCAAATCTCTGAATTTGGATGCAGTAAGAGAAGGTAACTAATGAAGGCAGATACTTCAGTTCAGACCCCATAAACAAGATGGACTGAATTGTGCAAAGAGCCTTTTATTTTCATGACAGACAGCTCCAAGTGCTGGATTTGGCAGCCTTTTAGCCTGGCCAAGCACTATGTGGTTGTTTATCAAGAGAGTTGTGGCAGTGTCAATACTGGCATGTGACAAAAGATTAGTGCACACACACACACAAATCTACCTCCAGGAGTTTTTGTACAGCCTTTGCAAAATCTGCCTTTACAGGTTCAGGGCACAACTCAAAACATTTATTTTCCTTAAGCCATTTGCAGAATGGTCTCTATTTTCTGAAATGATGTGCAATCTCAGTTTTTAGTAAAATAAAGAAGGGAGCAAATATTGATATTGTTTTAATGGTGCACCACGAGTCAAATAAAAGCTTCCATTTACAAAGGGGAAAATGTTGAAGACAACGTGGTGAGAGAAGTGACTACAGTGAATATTTGTACTCAGAGCACTCATAACCACACCTGTGAAGCCTGCTACACCTTTATTGCAAAACAATCTTAAATAATAACTCTAATGGGGCATAATCTGTTATAATTAAAGCTATTAAGTAATATCTAAAATCGAGGTAGTTTCAAAAAACAAACCAGGAGATTTCATTTTCCCTATTGATGCTCCTGCACACATCCATTTGGTGCCATGAATGGCATACTCAGAGCATTTTCCCCTCAGAGCCAGTAATTACTACTACTAACTTATTTAAATATTAACACTTAAAAAATGTAAAATGTCTTGAGAAATGCCAGTTCCTCATTCCAAAACAATATCCTTACATTAGAAAGATGCCTCCTGCTACACAGCAGTTCTCTAAGCAAAAGGTTAGTCTGAAACAAGCAGCATTTAATTTTATGGTTACATGGCAGTGATACACCAAAACCCATCTTCTAGAAAGACAGTAGATTAATATTTTATACAGCTTTCATTCTGCTCATGTTTAGATTAATGTATTCACAGTATCACTTCTTTAAAGAGAAAATTTTGCTTTTCAACAGCAGTCAGCCACCAGAGGGAACTCCAGATTTCCAGCCTTCATCCAGTCCCCCACAAGCCCTTTGGCAGTTGATTCAGCAAGAAATCAGAGAAAGGTCAGGGAATAAATGTTTGGTTTTATTTGAAGTTGTTCAGAATTCTTGCCTAAAATACTTACCTTCTATTTTAGCATTCAATCAAGAACACTGCAATTATTAAACAGTTTGAAAATAACTTCTTCACCTTGAAAGCACAGCCATTCAAAAAAAAACATTCTGGCGTTGGGACTTTTCCCACACATAAAGGACTGAGAGAATACTTGCTAAAAAGGAGATTTAGAGAGGGATTCACCTAATGATACTTTAAAGAACACTGTACCATTTTTCATTTGCACAAGAGTAGGGGTCTGTCTCTGATCACAGATTATCTTCCTCTTCACCAACAACTTGGGCAATTTGTTCCTTATTGCGTAAAAAAGCAGGAAAAGGAAGTAATTTTCTGAGGAACTCCAGCACGCATATCTTTGTTTTGGCAAAGGGAATAGGTTGCTGTCTGCAAAATAAGTGCAGTGGGATCAGAGTTCAGCCTCTTCTGACAGGGGTTTCAGAATAAATCCAGAGCCACGTTACAAAAATGTCAGCAGTATCAGAGGCTTACTGCAGCTGGAAGGGTAACAGGAGCAAAATCATCCCACGAGCCTATATATGGATATAGTGCCTATTTTTCATAGATAATAAATACATTTTAGTACAATGTTTGAGAAAGTATTTCTCTGTACTCTGCAGTCAGTTAGTGGGTTAACTCTTGAAGCTCTTTGCCACCAGTGAGTGTCCAGGCCAAAATTAGAGTCCCTGCAGCACTATCAGAGAGCATACAACAAAACAACTCTTAAATAAAGAGCTGTTAAAATCAACGAAAGGACCAGGATTAAGGCACAATTTCCAGCTTCCAGGCTCTTGAACAAGGCTAGAGAAGAAGGGAAATCTGGAACGCTTGCTGACTGGTTGTGCTACATACCACGCTTGGGTATCAGAACAACTTCAGTGTGTTCAGTGTATGGCTGTCACTGCTCAGCCCCATCTAAGATCCTGCACTTAGATCAACTTTCTCAGGAAAGCAAGGGAGTTTTTATGGTGACAAATCAAATTAAGTCATTTCCTGCTCTCTTAAAGTAGTACAGCGCAGTTTGAAATGGAAACATGGTCAACAATGAAGAAAAATTTTTACAATAGGTAGTGCTGAACACAGGGATGGTACCTACAAAACCTGGAATTAAAAAAGACAAAAGAGGTACTGCAGGCAGTATAACCCCTCCTAAGATCCCCGTCTTACCAGTCTGATCGGCTGAGTCCCTGCGTGTTTTTCCAAGGAGAGCCACCTTAACACTAGCAATTAGCAACAAGCCTTTCAAAGTCAGCAGGGGAAATCCACTGCTGAAATTTTTCAGGTCTGAAGCTGGTTTGTGAGAAGAATCCTCGCTCAGGAATGAGTGCTATGCCAAACGTCATTTGCTTAAACAAACTTATCAGCCTCTGAAATGCAAGTCAGCACTGCAGCAAATCCTCACTCTGGAGGGGCCCAAAGCACATCCAGACTGTCAGAGGCCAGGCTTGGATAAACCTTCAGGTGTAGAGGAGGGAAGGCAAAACCTGATAAGTGCCTACGTCAAAATAAAGTCTGTCACTGTCTTCATTTTATTTCTGGTGAGAACATGAACTTCTTCCAGTGAACAAAGCTGTTCCCAACAACGCACAATCAATGTGACCTGAGCACTGGGTGTATGACCTGGACGTATGGACAGACCGGGGAACAAGATGCTGGAAAGCAGTGCCACAGGAAGGGATCTGGGGTCCTCACTGATGTCGAGCTGAATATGAGTCAGCAGTGCCCTGGCAGCCAGGAGGGACATCAGTGTCCTGAGGGGCATCAGGCAAAGAAAGCACTGCCAGCCGGCTGAGGGAGGGGATTGTCTTACTCTGCTCTGGGGTGGCCTCCCCTGGAATACTGTGTGCAGTTCTGGGCACTGCAATATAACAAACATCTAAAGCTGTTAGAGAGCATTCAAAGGAGGGACATGAAGATGATGAAGGGTCTGGAGGAGCAGCTGAGGGCACTTGGCTTGTTCAGCCTGGAGAAGATGAGACTGAGGTCAGACCTCACCATGGTCTGCAGCTCCCTCACAAGGAGCAGCTCCAATCTCTGTTCTCTGTGACAGGACTGGAGGAAACGGCTGGAGCTGAGTCAGGGGAGGTTTAGGCTGGATATCAGGAAGAGGTTCTTCCCCCAGAGGGTGGCTGGGCATTGGAACAGGCTCCACAGGGCAGTGGTCACTACCCCAGGGCTGCCAGAGCTCAAGAAGCATTTGGACAATGCTTTCAGGGACATGTTGGGACTGTTGGGGTGTCCTGTGCAGGGCCAGGAGTTGGACTCAATAATCCTTGTGAGTCCCTGCCAACTCAGGATATTCCATGATTCTACACATGCTCACACTGCTGTTGGTACCAGCCCATCTGACGCCAACTGCTCGTGCCCACTGCCTGAGCCTCCACAGGAAGGGAGAGAGCCAGGATAAACCATCATCCTCTCAGGGCAGCAAAATGTGCCCTCTCCTATTATTTTGCCTGCCTTTGCTCAGAAAGCTGTCAGATAAATACTCCTGCATTCTGAGTCTATTCAGCTTTTTAATTTTAAAAACCCCAAACTTCTACAATTCATACTAAAAGCCCATCTCAGTCAAAACATGCCAATAGCTCAGGCAGAAGATTTACCCCCATCTGTACAAAAGGACCTGCTGTTTGCTCTTGGTAGTCTTGGGATCTGTATTTTTTATAAGGATAATTCTTTAGTATTAAACAGCACATTTGCATAGCTGCAGTGACTGCAAGGACAGCAGATGATTACTCGTGGGGTAACAGGAAAAATGTTAAAGAAAAATAAACACACAGCGAACTTCATGCAGATATAGTGAATTTGTAAAAATAACTACAAAGACAAATATTCACATGTTATGTTTAAGCACCTTCCTGCTTTTTCCTGTATTACCAACATGGTAACACAGAGAACACAAGCTGGCGAAGCTCTGCACAGCAGGAAAACTACTGTTTTGCTGAAATCTTAGTGAACAGTGATAGGAGGTAACAAAACTCTGAGAAAAAAATTTAAGAGCTGCAGTGACTAGCTGTTGTATGCTTTAATTTAGAAAGGTCAATGGAATCATTCTCCATTCCCCATGTATAATTTCTCATGGTAGTTGGGAGGCTTGGGAACAGCTTAGTTTTGGTTTTCTGCCTAATAATGTCTATAATGATAAGAAAATCATGTGTTAAGCACGCATGATCAGAGTACATGGATTTTGTAAACTGTCCCACTCTCAAGTGACACAAGCATGCTGGAAACAGCTTTTCAGCCCAACAGATATTCCCCTTTTCTTTCTCTTCCACCAGCCATTAAAAAAGTAAACTTGGAATCGAATCTTTATATGTGTAAATCCCAGAAAATGTATAAAGCAAAATCAAGAAACCATATGATTAAGGCAAGAAACAACTCAGTGTTGTGGTTTAGTGATGTTGAAACAAAAAGTTCTAATGTTGATTAATGTTATAAACAAAACCAGCCCTTTTTTTCCTCTCAGGTTATCACTGTCATCCAAGGAGATTTTTATTCTTCCTTCAGGAATTCCCAGCAGATGACATTTCAGGAGTGGAAGCCATGCACTGCTGAGCCTGCTGAGAAGACAGGGCTCTGTCTCAGCATCTTTACTGCCAAGATCAAGTATACAACTGAAAACATCATTGAAATGCTTTGAAACCTCTGTTAGTAAAAGGTAAGTGATTCCTCACTGTGAGTTCAGGTAAAGCAATGTCTGTTTAACACAGGGGGAAAAAAATTATTATCACAAGATGCTGCTGTATTGTAGTAATAAAGACTTTGAGGATCAACTAGACTCACTATGGCATTAACTCTCAGCTCTTCTTCAAGGCCACGGAGATAAGGGAAGCTCTTCACACCCTGCAGTAAACCACTAATTAAAAAAAAAAAAAAGTAGTTTAAGAAGTACCTATTGTCTCTCTGTAGAGCAGATTCAGCTTGGCACCTTGGTGCTGACACAGCAAACCATCCCCAGCCACTTGCATACCAACAGGCCAAAGTGTATGTAGAGAATTAAAATTTTAAAATAGAAAACCTCTTGTGCAGCTCCCAGGAGGGGCAAACTGCATCCTGTGATTCCCATAAGCAACTTGCATGGACTACTTGGTTTGCATACAAAAAACACCTAATGGAAACCAACAGCAGCATATGGGTACCCAGCTCCTTACCCTTAAAGAATTTTAATGGAATCTCTGTTTATTCTGATTAACTTTTGCTTTGGGGATAATTGAAATTCAGTTTGCAAAGCCATTTAAGAAGTATTACTAATATAAGTTATATACTGCAAGAACTCATAGCTCAGGGACTCAGGTTCAGGGACTAATTGAAATACTGATTTATTTATAGCTCACCGGCTGCCATACATTATCTGGTGAAAATAATTTTCTTTTTTAATTAATTTTTACTCTCGTCTTTAAGAAACACCAATACTTCAGAGCACATAGCTTTTTTCTATCAGTATTCAAACTGTAGACTACATTTGAAGGGGGAACCAGCACAGAATCACAGACTGGTTTGGGTTGGAAGGGACTTTAAAGCTCAGCTCATTCCGGCCCCCTGCCATGGGCAGGGACACCTTCCACTAGCCCACGTTGCTCCAAGCCCCATCCTACCTGGCCTGGGACACTTCCAGGGGTGGGGCAGCCACAGCTTCTCTGGGCAACCTGTGCCAGGGCCTCACCACCCTCACAGGGAGGAATTTCTTTCTAACATCCCATCTAACCCTGCCCTCTGTCAGTGAGAAGCCAATCCCCCTTCTCCTGTCAGGACCTGCCCTTGTCCAAAGTCCCTCTCCAGCTCTGCTGCAGGTTCCCACGATGGGGACATGGAACACAAAGCAATTCCTTATTGCAGCCTACATGTGTTTCCCAAAGAGGAACACTTTAAGTGTCCGTGCTACAGCTCATGCTGTTGCTGTGGCAGCTTTCTTGCAGATCCAGATACTCCTTTTTAATTGGTCCTTAAGGCAACATTTACAGCATTAGAGTTCCAGCTCCTCAGCAAAGGCAGCGGGATGTTATGACTAGAGCAGCATGTTGTGTGTGTTAATTTACACCCTCCTCACCCCTTTTTCTTGGGGATGTGGCAGGTAACACATGACAGGTCCCAGGAGAAAGAGCACAGTAAAACTTCCCTAGAAGGAAGGTTTCCGTGAAGCAAAGCCAGTTTATTGAAACTCAGTGCAATGCTTCAGAACCCACTCTCTATGGAAAATTAATGTTGTTATAGACCGTAAGCTGCACATTTCCTCTAAGAGACATCCTGCTGCACTCTGCTACTGTCACCACACTATCCAGCCCGTGCTCAGGAATTAATCAGGGAAGATACTCAGAGTTGTAAACAGCAAAATGGAAACAACTGCAAAGAGAAAGCACAGCATGCCACTAAAAAAAATCAGAAGACAGTTACTTCATATCTATGAACAGCAGATGCTGGACAAGCCTTTAGTATTTGAGCCCTGCTCAGCCACAATTTAGGAAGTCATGTTGGGTACATGTTATCCTTCTAGCACTTCACCATGCTCAAGGGTCTTCAGTGCCTGGTACTCCACAGACCCATAAACGTGTCCAAATTCAACCTCTGGAGCACCCTGCAGCTTTGCAGCAACACAACACCAAAATAACTTCTCAATGTAGAGAAACTAAACTGCATAAATGCTGCAGTAAGATTTAGAGTTTCCTGATTTTAATCCCCAAAAGAGATGCAGTACTAGCACCAGTCTTTCTCGTAATACCCTTGCCAGTGTGCTTCATGCCTAACTTAAAATAAACTTAGTGCTGTCACACGAGTCCAAACAGTACTTTCTGTTGTAAAAACATGTGCATCTGCACCAAAATTACTTTGGTTCTGTAAAATCTCATCTGGTTCACCCCTTCTTTGTCTTAAGCGTTGCCCAGAAGGTCCAATTAATACCATAAGAAACTGTCTCATGAGGGTGTGACAGTGACCCCTTAGTACAAAAGAAGAACAGAGGAATGAAACAGTTCAAGAACAAAGATAAAGAGAGGAGCTCACCACTGGACTGGCCCGAGCAGAGCTGGCTCTTGAGGATGCCCGAGATCCCGAACCAAGGTAGCAGCTGTACTCGGAAGGCTGCCGCAGGTAAACCAGGAACAGCAAGCAGAGAAAAGAGAAAGGCATTAGAACTGGGAAGAGAAGCAAGAGAGGATGTAGAGCATTATATCTGAAGTTAGTTACGAAAATGGTTTCATGCAGCTGGACAAAGGAATAGCAGTGAAAGAGAGCAGACACCTCAAGTGTTAATTTAAAATTTAAGGCAAGTAGTAAGTCCATTGATGGATCAGGTAGAGTTTTGATTAAATTATTTGAATGACAGAATACTAATGATTTATTTATATCTCTTAAGGTATTAGTCACAAGTAAACAACCCTCAGTTTCTACACAAAAGGCTTCATCCTACTTTCCAAGACCTCTGAGGTTCTCTGGTGAATTTTTTTCCCATGTTTCCAACATTGTGCACGTACAAAATGAATTCATGCTCCACAGGCCAAAGCAAGAAACATCCATCCATCCATCCGGGATTAAAGCAAAAACTGAGACCATCTCAGAGACTGAGTATCTCTCCTGCTTTTCCAGCATCTGAAGTCTTCATCTCCTGCCAAAGAAAGTCTTAGCCCTTCTTAAAAGCAAACATCTAAGCAGTGATGCAGAACACACAGGGCTGGCTTGTTGCTCACAAGCACAAAGAATGTGTCTGTACTGTTTTATTTCCAGAGGTTATAATGCAGTGGAAGCAGAGAAGGGAAATTAAAGTGCCAGAGAAATAAAACTAAAACTTATTCTGGAAATAATGAGTTTATTTTATAGGTGATTAAGACTTTTCCTCAGATACAAAAATGGAGAAATCTAAGGAATTATAATACTTTTAAGATGCATATACTCTGTCTTTTCTTAAGGTGTCTTTTATTACGTTACCTGACCACTACAGGAATCTCTGGATTTCTCAGCTGCAGAGACAACCAGGCCTTCACCAAGCTACTGGAGGGCTGTTTCAGCACCATTAGTCACACTAACAAAGCAGCACAGCACTGACTGGAAATTAAACTTACAGTACTAATAAGAGGTAAGAGAGTAGGCTGGAAATAACCCCAGCTAGAATACAACCACAAGCTTAGCTACTAACCACAAAGCACTACGTGCAAGGTATACAGCCCTTAGCAACCCCTCAGGCAGGGCAGAACATGGCCAAGCCATGTCCTCGGATACACTCAGAGGGAGGCCCTGGCACAGGTTGCACAGAGAAGCTGTGGCTGCCCCATCCCTGGAAGTGTTCAAGGCCAGGCTGGACGGGGCTTGGAGCAACCTGGTCTTGTAGAAGGTGTCCCTGGCCATGGCAGGGGGTGGAATGAGATGATCTTTAAGGTCCCTTCCAACCCAAACTATTCTGGGATTTTATGTCTCACATGACGTGACATTGGCTTCATACACCTGAGCTTCATTTCAGAGGTGAGAATATGCATAACATAGAACTCTGTTGCACACTGTTTACAATTACTGTCAGTCACACTAATTCCTAAATTAAAGACATAAAGTACTGAAGTAAAAATTTATATTCCCTTTTCTTATTAAGCAGTTTGAGCACAGAAGCCTTGGCCATCACCGGTGGTTTATGTTTAACCTAAGAAGGGTTTAGAATAAATTTGAAACATGTGACAGGGAAAAAGTATTAATTACTGATGAGTCCAACATTAATGCTTCCAGGGCCTATTTATTCTGTGCATTGCAGGGCAGGGCAGGATATGGAAGCAAGTGCACTTGTTCAGCAGGCTGAGACCAAACAAAGCAGGGTTCAGCCTCACCCCCTGCATTCACCTGACCATCCAAAAACATTCTTTGGGAACAGCTACCCAAATAGCACTCCCTCTACATGTTAAAAGTGCTGCAAGGTTCAGAGACATCAAAATAACCACAGATAACCTGGCAATTGTGACAAGGTCATTCCCTTGGAAGCAAACCCCTCCTACTTCAACTCTCTCATTACTACAGGCAACCATTCAACAGGAGCTGGAAAAGCTGGGTTACACACAGGCTTCCAAAGACCTGTGGTACTGGGTGGGATTGGGATGGAGGAAGGGGAATGAGCACCAGAGTTTTATTGAGTGTTCCCTGTTCAAGCCACTGACAGCGGGTGAAAGACTTGTAAACAGTTCCTGGGCTGAGAGTCTGCTGTAAATGATTTTTCCCCAGAGTGGCATCACCTGGACCTCCGAGGGACTAATCCCAAACATAAGACAACATCCCATAAAAACACAGGGCTACAACCAGCTCAGCCTCAGTGGCAAACTCGCTGAACTGCAGGCTGCTGCCACAACACTGCAAACGGGTCAGTATTGAATTTTCTGAGGCAGACAAAGGAAATCAAGGCAGAATTGTGAAACAAAAAGCAATTTGAAGCTTAACATCAGTAGGAAGATGCACAGCACAACTAATGAAACAATGGGACTGCAAGAGGCTGGTGCAGCCCTTTAAAGACTAACAGGTGCTCAGTAAGCATTCTGGAAAGCGTTTCCTCCTCCAGGCTAATAAAAATGTAATGTTTAAGGTTAAATTAACATCAATGCTTTGTCCTGAGTCTTTTTACTCTTATGGTCTTAGATGGTGGATTTTTGTTTGCTGGAGTCTTTTTTATAACCAATGGGCCCCCAGGGCAGGACTTAAGAATCAAAAGAAGACTGGGTTTTATTTTTTTTCCCAGGTGGGCACAACAGCAGCAGCTGTACCACCTGGCTCGAATGCCCACCATGACACAAAGGCCCTCTCTGAGAAGAGGTGAAGGCATTTTCTGCCTTCTAATCTGTAAACCAAGTCCTGCAGTTTCTGTTTTTTGAAAGGAAACAGCTTATACTGTTATTCCCCATATTGTTGCCCCCCATCAATGACAGAGCCCTCTGCTCTCAGGGACATGTAATTTGGAAGCCTTGTCATGAGTTGGCATGTATATGAACATAAAATATTATTTGAATATAAATCCAAGAAACAAACTCAAGCAAGCCATTTGTTCACAAAAAGCCTTTGCTTCACGCTAGCATAGGATTGCTAATGTGGAACTGATTTTTAACTTTTTTGTTAATTATTTTTTGGACTTGCATTTTTCCAAAGAAGAATTAAGTCTCAGCGAGGGACAGGACTTCACGTACCACCTTTCCAAGGTGTTTTATCTGCAAACCAAGTGTGAAGCAGGGCCAAATTCCCCTCTCTGCAGATAAACCACCCCCTTTTTATTTCATGGAATCTCCTGGAAACGGTGCTCCTACTTATGATGCCCGCAGCAGCAAGCTCTGGATCTCACACAGTTCATCTTAAATGCTCCTCAGCCCAGAAAAGGCTGAGTCCTGGTACATACAGACAAAAGGGAGGACAGAGACACACAGCAGGGAAATGCAGAAAACATCTTACAGCACGAGAACTAGGGGCACTATACCGACGGCTCCCGCTGTAAACGCTCTCCTCGTACACAGACGCCTACAATTGAAACACAGAGTCAGCGCAGGAGTGGCAGGTCACGTTTTTCAGGCTGCAGAATTCCAAACTCACACGGTGCAGCGCGGAGGACGTGAGGGAATGAGCAGGATGTGAGAGGACTGGGACATCTCCTGTGTGCAACCACAAGCAACATGCAAGGGAAGGTCTAACCTGGGAAACACCACGAGGCACGTGCAGAGTCCGACACACACCCCGAGTCCATCACACATCGTGCACTTCTAACCCTTCTCCCAGGGGTTAAAGTCAACACTCAATTCAATTCAAGTTTTACTGCCTCTCAACAAAACGGCTACATCAATTCTTAAATTGTTTCTATCTGTTAAACCTTCATTTCTGGTGCTGGCAATAAGAGGAAAAACTCACCCCTGATGAGCTTCACTCACTAGCCAGTTTAGTAAACTAAAAAAAGAGGAAGAAAATGTGTATTTTAAGATTGGCTCCAGTTTAGCATAGAGATACATGGCTCAGGAAACACAAGGGCAGTAAAAACGCTAAGCTTTGAGAAAAAGTTCTGAGAAGCTCATTTTAAATAAAAATGGTGCTATTTGCCTAAAAAAAATTTGCAAAACCGAATTTTTTTTTTTAGTTGTTAAACAACCAGAAAGAATTGATGTTGCCTCTGTCCTGCTCCTGCTCATACATGGAAACTAAGACAACCGTCTCCAGACAGACAGATACCCGTGACAGCATCACAACCCCACAGTTCCAACAGGAATTAAAGGAATGATCAGCAAATCCAGGCCTGTACAGACGGCATTGCACACATGCAGTCGGATGGATCGGACATCACAGAGTGAGATAAATGGACCCAACAGGAACCACAGACAGGTAAGAGACAACATGTGCATGGCTGGAGGTGAGTGGCTTCAGAACTTGTGTTTAAAGCATTAGTACAACAAACCCTGTAACTTCTGGCTGGCAGGGCATCGCTGTACAGCAGGGAGGGCTGAGGAAGACAAGCACAAAACTTTTTTTTGCAGAGAAAATTGAAACAAAAAAAAAAGGCGCCTACAGTAGAATTAACCATCTTGGTGAGAAATTAGGATCATTACACTACAACAGAAGGAAACCCACTATAGAGAATATTAGTCATCTGCACCATAAAAGCATTAGCTCTCAGCTCCCAAAGACTAAGAATATCAAGTAGACACGAGCATTTCCTACAGGAAGGGAGGACACGGCAGCATGCAAAAGCAAAACAGTGTAATTCAATTTTAGGTTGTCAAGTTGTTATTGTCTCACATACATTTGTGTATAGGAGCCAGAAAGGGTGTTTCTCCCCACTTCAACCAAAGCCAGAGAAAAAGCTACACAGATGTGTTAGGATACACATTTTAAGTGTTTCACACAGATATAAGATCAACTGCTGTGTATTTTATTATCCACAAATGCAGAGAAAATCCAAATAGTTCAGGAAAAAATTTAAATACTTAAGTCAGAGCATGAAACAAGTGGTTCTGCTGTTAGTAACCACAACTCCCGAGATGCAGCAGCTACACTTAGAGCACACGCTGTATCTGGCAGAATTAGGTGCAAGGGAAACTCCAGCAGTGGTCCCCAGCCCAAGGTTTGCAGGCAAGGTCCTGCTACAAGTCCGTCCCCCTCCCCACATCTGCAGTGTCCCATCACTGCACCGTGATATTCCTGACTGCTGCTCCCAGCCAGGACAGGCTGTGGGCCCGGAGCACTGCTTGAGCACTGCCTGCTGGCACGGGGCTGGCCGAGCTCTGCCCACACACGGGACAATCCAACGTCCTGGGGATTTTACAGCCTCAGTGATTCTCCTCTAGCAGTCTGGGAATTGCTTCCCTGTAATTTCACTTCATGCAGACTGGATTGTCTTAAGCTTGCTAGACTGACATAATGAGCAGAGGAGTTGCCTCAAATAGAGAACTTCAGTTAATTAAGATTTCTCTTATTTTTCCAGACCAACTGAAGCCAATATCAGTCAAACTAACTGTAGGAAAGGGAGGAGCAGCAAAGGAAAACTGATTGTGCTCCTTTTAAAGCAGCTTTCCATTACTCATTCCAATCTTAAAAGGTCTGGTTTGGTGGTTTTTGTTTTGTTTTGTTTTTTTAAGTTTTACTTAAAAGAGCTACAGAGTCTCTTGACAATCGGTCCAAATTGATTCCTAAGTACAAGAGGTTGTATTATCCAAATGAAGTCAGGACAAGTCCAGGCCAGGTGAAGCCAGAGGGCAACAGACCCAATTTCCATTTTGAGAAGAAAGTTGAGATGTGGAAGCGTAGCCGCTGTTGTGCAGACCCAGATCAGAGTAGTAGGAAGCCTGTGTTAACAACAAACAAACAAAAAATCCTTGAGAACTCGGCTTCGTAACATGAAGCCGAGTTCTCAATTCCTTTAAATGGGAAGCAAAAAGTAAATCAAGTGATTACAAACTGCAAGGAGTCAAATTGGTCACGGGCGCCAGAATAAGAGAGAATTGCATTAAAGCTGTGAGGGTGTGTGAGAACTGTGTGCCCTCTCAGGTACTGGAAAAATGCACTGGTCAGAGAGTTGGTCAGCTTCCTTCAGAGTTCCTGAGGAGCTTATGCCCTATAAGCTACACCCACAAGAGATGCAGGAGAAGGTGAGATGCTGGGAGATAGAAAGCAAAGCCAGGGACCTAAACTGTTGGGTGTGCCCAGCAGGAAATGTGGGTAGCCCACTGTCAGATATGGCAAGGCTGAGTGAAGTGGAAACTCTTCTGTAGGAAGTGAGACTGTCTAAATCAAACACCTTATTTAAATTAAACCCCTTCTTTTATGCAGCTTCCTACCTTGCATCCAGCCAACCCGGGACTTTGGTCCACCTACTCTGTCTCCCCAAAATTACGGAGATCTTAATTCAACTCCAAGTTAAATACTTAAAGTACTACTAGTGACTGACTTACAACTCCAGTGGACTTTAAAAATCACCCTCACCCTCTGAAATCCTTGTTTGTCCAGTATGATATACAACATCTGCATCCATTCCCCAGCACCTGTATGGAGTGTAGGATGCCAGGTCAGCTCATCCACTGCCAGGTGTTATCTGTGAGAACTTACGCTGGGCAAACACCTCAACACAAGCACGTGGGGCTTGCCAGGGAGGCTGACAGCAGTAGGGTATTTATAACAGAGTGCAGCTCAGTATTTTGGCTTCCCAAAAGCTTTAGGAGAAGCCCCTGTGGATATGTTACGTGTCTAAATAGAATACGCAACCAGACGTTGTGAAAAACTTAAGCTGTTATAAACAGTTGCTTTTAATATGCAGGGATATTAAATTTGTAAGTCAAGGTCTTTTGAACGCAGGTTGGAAATGCACATATAAGACATTATGCATTTTACAGAGCCACAGGAATCAGGAGAATACAGGCATAGTAGGAAGTACACTTTGCATTTTCCTTATTTTCAGAAAAAAGAGCAGCCTAAAAGCACATCTGAGATGTGCTAAGGAAGTTTCTGTGCTGTACCTGGAGCCAAGTGGCAGGGAATAAGGCTCACCAGGAAGGGGTGCTCAGGGGTGAGGTACACACTGCGGTAGCACGAAGGGATGGGGAGGAAATGCTGCCTCCTCACATCCCCACCCACCCGAAATGACTCGGGTGCTCACTCAGTCTTCTGCAAGAAGTTGCAAAGGTATTGTCAAAGCCTCCCAGGCACTGTTTATATTTCTTATTTTCCCACGGGTGTGTGCAGGCTGGTGGGAACGCTTGTTCTGGAAGATCTCACACCTTCACCTCCTTTGCTACACTCCAGAGCCCTCCTTTTCCAGCTGCTCTCTGACATTGCACTTCTCCAGTAATTTTTAGGGCGGTCTAGGCAACCAAGCTACTCTGCTTTCAGTAGCCAGCTTCTTACAAGCCCTAACTCATCTTTGCCTCATCACTATGATCCATGTAGGTGTTAAGTCCATTCACAAAAGAGGGAGATCTATGACAAATTAAAATAACTTGTTTGCCCTTGACACTGGACCTCTGTCACTGCAAGCAAACAGATGTGTGGGTAACACACAATACCCACAGGCACAGACTGAAGGCAAATCATTGTCCAGCCTCAGAAAGAAACACAAAAATAACCAACCCACAGATGAAAACCCTTCAATCAATGTTTGTAAAATAAGACTTTCACTGAAAAGAAACCTGAACTAAAGCAAGCTTTAAGAAATTACTTTCATTCTCACATAGAGAGCCTGTAATCTGCATGTGGACTACCTAAACTCATGGCATTAATCACATTTAAGGAATCAACCTGTGGCACTACAAATGCAGTGTTCACATAGATCAGTCTGTTCTGTAACTTAAAACTGGGCACCTACTTTGGAAACAACTATTACCAGCAGACTCATCCCTTCCCTGGCGACCTGAAGAATTTTCCTCTCGTTTTTCACTGTCACTTTGACATCTTTATGGTTAGATTTGGGTTTTTTAGAGAGGTGAACACTAGCCAGACCGGCATCAACTGGGTTTCAGCTATTCTGAGTTACCCCCAAACTTTCCTCTGCCTCCTAAGTAATGATTAATCCGAATTACCTTTAGTAATGAAAACTGCCAGGAACTAATGACGTTTCTGTAATGAAGCTCTACACAGACTAAACCTCCCTACTTACTGCAAACCCTAATATCATGATGATTTTAAATTACTTGAATGGAAGCCAAACAACTCCTTTTCCCTGGACGACAATCCTGCAGGTCTTTTGCTCTCCCTGCAGCCCTTGGAGCACTGGAGTATGTCAGTAAAGAATAAGAACATCATTTGTCACAAGTACTGCACAGTAAAGCTCCTTGAACTCGTCAAACTGTCCAGCAAGAGTGCCAACAACAGGACATGCTGTTTTGTTAACAGTTTAAGCAACAGTATTTCATTGTCTCTTATCAACATACACAAGCTAAATGCATAAAACTAGATGGCAGCAACAATTTAAAATGGACATGAAATATAAGGTCCCGTTTCATTGTTTATCCAAGCATCTGCTTAACTTCATGCTTACAAAGTAACCCCCTGAACTCTATCTCATGTTTAGCATGTATTGCTCAAACACTTGGCTAAATGGAGTCTGAAAGGGAGTTATTCTCCCCCCAGAAACAGAGCTTTAGTCTGCATACCACTAAATTTCTTTACAAGTACTGATAGCACAAAGATCACCAGGCTCTGAGCTTTTGTGTGGCCTTGCTAAAATAAAGGCAAGTAAAAGAACCCAAACAGTTTCCCTCCCTGCCCCCCAGGCTCTGCTTCAGGCAGTCCCTTTAAATCATTTGCACAAACCCCAATATTTAACAAAGGAGAACGATGAGCTGCTATAATTGACACACAACACTTGTGCTGGAACAGAAGGGAACATTGTGACCCGCATACCCACAATGGAGTTAATAATTAAGCTTTTTTTTGACAAGAGCATGTTTGACAAAGTTGAATAACAATCATTCTGTTGTCCAGCATGTGGAAATCCTCCATGCCAGGTGCTGCCAATCTATTTCTTGTCACAATTTTAACTTTTACCCAATTTTGCTTACCAGTTAAGCAGTTCTGCCTTCCAAGTTCTACTTGTACCAAATTCAGAGATTTCCCTTCCCACTCATGGCCTGATTTTTCGTTTTTTATTTCCCATCCAGCTTAGTGCTGCACCTCAGTGTCTGACAAACTTCAAACCCACAACATGCAACACAGGAAAAGCCTGCTTTACCACAGGAAAGAATTTGCTAATGAGCTTTAATCCCATTAAATAGAGCAATATAATTTTATAGCAATAGAAATCATCTACTAACCCTGCTAGATTTTCTACTCTGGGATGATCCATACACGTCTTCCTCATAACCATTGGTCTGTTATGGAAGGAAAGGAAAAAGGAAAGAAAAAAAGGAGAGACAAAAATTGACGCAGACCCAAAAGGGAATTTTTAAGCAAATGTCATCACTTACAAAAAGCAAAGGCAGAGACAGAACTTTTCAAAGATACACCAGGAACAGGAGAAGTGCAGGATGGGGTCATGATTTCAAACATGAGGACACGAACATTTGTGTCAGTACCTGTATACCAGCCAAAAATGTCAAGGATACTCCTGCCTGCTTTTTTGACTCTTTTTTTTTTTTTTTTTTTGCCTCCCCTATCATCACTGCTCTATAGCCCCCGTCTCTTCAAACACTCTGTGAGGGGAACACAGGACAAAAAGGGGATTAGAGACTACAATCAAAGATACATATCACTATAGTTACTTATACCTCAGGGAGTTAAGCAGTTAAAATGCAGGAAATTGTAGCAAAAGACTTCATTCTAAATTTATATTTGAGAAATTCAGCATAGTAAGCATGCAGTGATGTAAGAATTCTCTTCTTTTTAGCTCTTCTTTTTAATTTTGAGCATCGAAATTAAGCCCAGGCAGTGGCCATCTGCCACATCCCAGTATTTTGCATGGCAGTCCAAAGGCTAATAAGAGATTTGGGTTGGCTCAGCTGTCCTCCTCATGGCCAGCCTTGTTGTCATCGAGCTGTTTTCCCTCAGAGGAGGAAAAACAAGCTCAAGCAGGGTGAGATGCTTCAAATCCCTATGGCAGCAGCTCCAGGAATAAAACAAAACGATCACCACAATTCAGTTTTTAGTCTGGAAATGCAATGTTGAAGAAGAGAGTACAGACCCAAAAGTCACCTCAATCAATACCATTAAAAGCTCAGGTTTCTCCAGCAATTCACTGTTCTGGCATCACCTCACAGTGAGCCCTGGTTTAACACTGAAAACCAGGAAGCACTCTGTGTGTTTGAGGTGGGGGTTTTAGTGGAAATTTAATTAGCATTTCTATTCAAATGAAGTTCTGAAGTCCAAGTTTTAATACATTCCTGAAATGAAAATCCATTAAAACCAATCTGATTCAATTTCCAAGCAAAATATTTATCATCTACTATACAGCGGCTTCCATGAAAAATTAAACAAATTAACTTGGAAATCAGTTTAGAGCCAAGCTGGGAACACACTTCTGGGACAAGAAATGCTTAGATTCTCTATTGAAATGCAGTATTATCACCCCAAATGGAGGGCATACATCCAAGTTTCTTTTTTCAAGAAGAAATGGTTTGAAGTACTTCTAAAGCCTTCTCACACAGCTTGGCTCCTTTCCAGTTTTTACCAGCTTTTCTTTTTTAAGGCTCCTTGAACTTCTCTAACACTTCCCTGAAGAATGGTTAAAATGGATCTTCAGCAACTGAAGGCAACACTCCAGCTCAGCCTCAACAGCACCATGCAGAACTATTACTTCCACCACTCCTTTTATTACTACACTGAGGAATTAAGTTTGCTTTTTTCAGCTATGTAATACTGACTAAATGAAACCTCAGATCACTATCTGGACCTCCCTATTATTTTTGTAATAGTACCTTCTTTTTTCCCAGGTGTGGTATTCCTCATTTATTTGTACTGTTATTTACTTCTGACAAGTTGTCTCCTATTCATCATCAATATTTTCAGTCTAACCTCACATGAAACTGCCTTCACTCCCTGCACTTCGACAGCCAGGCAATAGAGACTCCTGCAGAACTGCTTTTCCCCCTTTAAAAAAACCAGATATGCTCTTAGATGGGAACAGACCTTTCCCATCTAAAAGGGAAAGCTGGATGAGATCCTTTCCAGCTGTCTCATTTTCTAACAGTTATTTTTCATTCCTTTTACAACAGTACATTCCTTTGACAAGGACTAGATCTGGCCCAAGGTTTCACTTAATGTCATGTACAGACATGCCAAGAGCCTTATAGTCAAGCTATAGTAACATCTCATGTTTCTCCTTTATGCCCTTAAATAATTACCCTGCTTAGGGAAGTTAAGTTGATTTGACATAATTAATTTTCTACAAATCCAGGTTAATTTTTTATCACTTTATAGTTCAGGCCCTTCTAAAGGAATTTGTTTCATTTGCCCTGGTGTCTTTCAGATTTCAGACTGCAACCCCCTAGCTCAGGTCATTTCCCTTGCTACTATGACCCATCCTCTCCAGAAACATCTCCAGTGCATATTTTTGAAGACAAATGCTCCAGACAGCTCTGGAAAAGCAGGGTCAGTTTTATCAGACCTTGTTGACCTTTGTTCCCTGCTATGTTAACACACTAAACATCCAACCCTAACCCTCATGAAAATCTTAAATAAAATTGCACACTAGGGAGGCCAAAAGACTCACATTAACTTGTTCTCCCTTCACGTGCCATTGACTCTCATTCCTCTCTGTTTTCACAGACACAGAAAACCACCTTATTGCCATTATGTACATTTCTACTTGTCATGTTTTTTACCTCAGACTGTGGTTCACACTGCTCCTTCAGGCTTTCTCAATCCCACATCCAACTTCTGCTTCTCAGAGAAGTCTCTGCTCATTTCCAGTGTACTGAAAAACCCCAACCCAGCCTGGCAACCTCTTCCTGCAATGAGGAGCCTTCCCCCCACAGCAGTACACCACTCTGCCCTCTCTTGTGTACCCTTTCCTGCACTAGAATTGCTCCCCATAAAATCCTCACTGTATGAAAGCACATTATCCTTTATCCTCCCTCCAGACCCAGTTTTGCGGTGCTCTAAGTAATGTCCTAAGGCACCCATACCTCGGGAACTGTAGTGACAGGATAAGGAGTAATGGGTTCAGACTGAAAAAGGGGAAATTTAGGCCAGATATATGGAAGAAACTCCTCCCTGTGAGGGTGGGGAGGCCCTGGCACAGGTTGCCCAGAGAAGCTGTGGCTGCCCCATCCCTGGAACTGTTCATGGCCAGGTTGGACGGGGCTTGGAGCAACTTAGTCTAGTGGAAGGTGTCCCTGCAGGGAAGTGAAACAAAATGATCTTTAACGCCCCTTCCAACCCAAACCATTCTGTGATTCTATTATAATCTCTCAATATTGCTGTGTAATATTAAAGTTCAACTTAGGTAGCTCAAGTTAGGTTTTGAGTTTTGCCAGATGTCCTTTACGTACAACACTGACATAAGGGTTTGGATTATCCCATGTTATGCACATGAACTGATGGTCACTATTTGTGCAAACCCAACAAATCCTGATAGTCACACCGTATCCTTGACACTGGGCTGGTGAGCTCTCATACTTGAACATACTCTTTGTCTATCACAGCAGGTTTGTATGTAAAAAAACCTCTCTGAGGCAGTTAGTCAAGATACATACTGCTTTGGAGTAGTTCTTCTTTTTGGTCCTCTCATTCTCTAATCCAGCCTGCAGTGAGATTAAGAATGCAGGATGAGAAGATCAATGATTTTATGCACACCCATCCGCAGCCAGGCATGCACGTCCACATGCAGAAACATCAGTCCAGCTCTCCTCCAGCTCTACACAACACAGCTCAGTGAGCACACAGGAAAAAAAAAAATCAAATCTCAGAGTCAAATGCCCAGTTATTAGAGAATATTGTTAAAAGTGATGACAGTGCTGTTAAATTTAGCAGCCACAGTTAAAACCATTCACGCTTGCTGGGTTAAGTCAATTAAAAGAGCTACCAGCTGTCCATACTTACTACATCAATACATCCATGCAAAACCCAAATGTGTTTGAACTATTTCTGTATGTAGGTCACGCACAAATAGATACATTGCATTCCTAATTGAAAATAGTGCTGGGAACGAAGGAGAGTGAAAAATCTAGAGAATCTATAAAACTGCAGACACTGAGCACCTCTATTTCAACACAGCACTGCCACAAGGCATCAGGAAATATTTTAAACTGAGATTAAAGTCCCAATCCTCACTGTCCCTTTCTGTTCTTCCAAGAGTCAGTTTTACCTCAGCATTCACAGGAGCAAACTCTTGTTCTCCTTATATTATTATTAGTTTGATTTTGTTCCCCAAAGTGAAGGTAACAGCTTGACACAAGCTGCAGCTTTGGTAGGCAGTGTCTTTGTCCCATCACCTTTGCTAGATCTATTCAGAACGAGTTTATGTTTATAAGATCCTTTCCAGATCTATGCTGAAATAAATCCAGATGCATCGGGCCAAACGAGGGACAGACTGTAACAGAGACAGTCTGTCAGGGGAAATAAAAGCCATTCTGCTCTGTCCTATGGTAACTACTGAGCTAGACCTGGATCAGATCTCTAATCACTTGTCGCTCTTTGTCTGAACTGCGTCAGAGCAGTAGGAGAGGGAAGTGACATCTTCACATCACACACCACAAACTGTCTCAGGATCCTTCCAGACCCTTATCTCAGATCAGTTATCACAACTTGTGTTAGTTTCTTCTTCGTTATTAGTTTTTAAACACACACACACTGCAGAGCTTGCAGACTATTCTCACCACTGGGTAGGTGCTGGCATATTCCAAATGAGACTGTAAAGGCATGAGAGGAAAGGAAAATCAGAATACAAAGGAAAACACTCAAGCAAGTTATGGCAATCAAAAGAATTCCCCAAACCAAACACACAGACACAAAAATAGGCACAGAGATGTAAATCCCAACTAAAGAACTTTGATAATGCAGGAATTCTTGCACAAAGGCACAAGGAGGAACGTGGCAGCAAACAAAACATGGAAAATGCACAGATTACATCACAAGTGATTACTACCACAACAGTATTTCATGCTGATGGTCTTGGATTATAGAGACAGCCAGCTGAGAAGTGGGAGAACTAGGACAACTGAAATAGAAAACAGACTGAAGAGAGGCTCAACAAACACAGGGTGATGTTACTGAGCTTTCCTAGAAAAATCTGCACGATAAATAATTGAGCTTGCAGAACTCCTGAAACAGATGTCGTTGATGGGTTCAGGATGAGCAACAGAAAAGCTGTTGCAGAAGCCCCTTGGTGGCAGCTGAGGAGACACACACATACCCAAGCCAGCATTCTATTGGCACCCCAGGTCACTGTTTACAGCACAGTCACAGCTGTGGAGCTTTAATTTGCTGGCCTGGTCTGATCAACATCTCCAGTGGTTTTGCAGGATGTAGTGCTGGCTGCTCTGCCAGAAGCATCCAGGCCAGCTCCCCAAAAGCTACCTCAGCAGATCTCTGGTGCCTGCAATCCAGACATCCACTTAAAAAAATATTCCAGGAGAAAACCCCAGAGTAAAACCTGCACAGATTAGTAGTGTGGTAAAGTTTTAGGGAGAAACCAATGTCCAATATTGGCTCATTTCAGTGAAAACTTCCTGTACAGAAGAGTAGCACGGGTTCAAAAAGCAACCCCTAGCACCATCAGACCCTCACAGTAGTGCAAGGAGTCTGAGTGACAAAATGCAAGATCAATTTTCCAAAAATGCAAGTCCTACAAAACAATGACAATGACATCCTGCAACGATGGAAGGAGAGCCTTCAAATATCAAAAAAACCTAGCCTCATTCAGAATTCTCAGACTCACTTTATAAACCCTTGTGGACACAAGGCAATAGTTTTTGGTTTTGTCTTCAAGCTAAAATAGCTCCAAAACCAAACTGAACTCTAGTATTCAGAGGTAATTTTTTAGGTTGGTCATTGTTCATGGTTTCTTTACTTTGTTGTTTTGAAGACAGGCACAGCAAGAGCCAAACCTTCACAGATTAGTCAGAGATGGGGTCAAACTATTAAAAACATCTACTGTAAGCCCACACCAGGAACGTGATCAGAGAGACTATTTATAAGAGCATGGAGTGACAGAACAAGGGAGAATGGATTCAAACTGGAAGAGAGTAGGTTTAGATTAGGAAGAAATTCTTCCCTGTGAAGGTGGGGAGGCCCTGGCACAGGTTGCCCAGAGAAGCTGTGGCTGCCCCATCCTTGGAAGTGTTCAAGGGCAGGTTGGATGGGGCTTGGAGAAACCTGGTCTAGTGGAAGGTGTCCCTTCCCATGGCAGGGAGTGGAACAGGGCAAGTTTTAAGGTCCCTCCAACCCAAACTGTTCTATAATTCTATGTTCTACTGATTAATTGTGAATAAATCAACTGGAGGATGTAGAAGGGTAAGTTTCAGTTCAGACTAGCAAACATTTACATGCTTCTATAATCCCAGTGGCACTTGCAGGAGGGAAGGAAGCTCTGTCAAAACTTTTCCTGTGCCTAAGAACACCCACTGAATGCTGCATTACGAGGACAGGAGGGAGTCTGTGCAACATCACAAGAAACACCAGAGTGGAAAGTTTCAACCAGATCCTTCTGTCAGAGAAACACATTCTTTGCAGAAGTATGAAGAATTTAGGGACCATCCAGTGGACCAGCTGGAGACTGCTGTTCACCAGACCAGCAGTGGTTATCACAGCCTGAAGGCACGTGGGCAGCCCAGAGGCTGGCTGCTCTAGGAAAAGTGGTTGGAAAAGCTTCTCCAACCCATGGTGGGGAGGCAGAATGCAAGGCTTCTGCCATTTACTTATCCAAAAAACACAGGATTGTGTTACAAAAACACCTCAAAAGCAATCAGTGGTGGATTTCCATGAACAAAAGGTGTTTCAGATGAAGATGTGCTATAAGCACATCCTTGCATTGTGCCACACTAAGGAACACACTTATAGCAATGGTTAAACAACCCATTTGTGTTGTCAACACTTTCTAAACAGAAAGAATTGATATTTCAGCTGAACTAGAGATTTTTTTTCCCTCTAAAAAAACACTTTCATGAACATGTTGACATTTAACTCTAAGTAAAATAAACATTTCTTTTCCTGTTCAGCTGTGAAGAGAAGCTTTTCTTAACCGAATCTTTGGAGCTTTGAGACATCTTCTAGCTTTGAAAAACACTCAAATAAGTTTGCAATCTTGAAGAACAAAGATTTTAACAGCATTTCAAAAGTAGCAATAAGGATTCCAATAAAAAGGGAACAAGGCAACACTAAGTATTTTTAAGTGTACCTTGAGCTATTGTGAAAAATATTTGGGATCACCAAACCAGCTCTGCAGTAGCAATTTTTATTTATTTATTTATTTTTAAATGAGTCCTCTAAACTCTACACTAGACCAGACTAAAGGCTTATATACACATGTATTATCTGGGAAAACGCTGTCTGGGTATTTTGAGGAAAAAAAAACATTTGAACTTTTCCTAGAGATGAGTACTCTGTGCTTTACTTTTCTCCCTGCAGAAAACTTAAGCCTGCAAATGAATTTCAAATACCTCTAAAGCATTTTTAAGGAGAGTAACCAGTGACAGGACCCTAGGGAATGTCATGGAGCTGTCTCAGGGGAGGTTTAGGCTGGATATCAGGAAAAGGTTCTTCCCCCAGAGGGTGGTTGGGCACTGAACAGGCTCCCCAGGGCAGTGGTCACGGCCCCAAGGCTGACAGAGCTCAAGGAGCGTTTAGACAACACTCTGAGGCACATGGTAGGATTGTTGGGGTATCCTGGGCAGGGCCAGGAGCTGGACTTGGATGATCCTTGTGGGTCCCTTCCAACTCAGGATATTCCATGATTCTACGGGTATTCACCTGCAATTCCAAAGTGCTTAAGACTTATTTCCACCGATTATTTTCTTCTGGTTTCCTGAGCTAATAAACACTGATCCTGCAGTAAGCTAGCACTTCCTTTTCAGTATCAGTAATGAAACAGGGGAGCTTCCAAGGTGCATACAAGAAATAGCTGCCTATACCAATGTCTTGGCTAAGTACTTCCTGCAACAGCAAACAGCATTTACCACAAAGGTTCCTGCACAGGAATTCCTGCTCCTGCACACTGCACACACATCTGACAGTTCCCCCGGTTGAAAGAATTATTGATCCACGTGTTACTTGAAAAAAACCAACACAGAATACGTTAAGACCTTGAAAGGACGATAACTATGAGAGTACTACAACCAGTCTGGGGTGAAGGGAGACGGTGACATCCATACACACACACACACAGACACAGAAATTGTACAATTTACCAACCCTCAGGCTTCCACGGCTACCCACTGACATGCGCTCATCTTCATCCGAAGCCTATCGAGAGAAAAGTATAAAGACAAAAAAAAAAAACAATGAAAAGAACACAAGTAACGGGGCAGTGAGGTAAATGCTGATGGTTTTGATGGGACAGAAGGCAAGAAAAGACGTACAAAATAAATGTATTTTAAAAAGAACTGCATTAAAACTATAAGCAGAAAGTAAATTAAATCATACTCTGCCCAAGAAACACTGTCAAGTGTTTCACTACAGCTTGCTTGGGTGTTCCCTGCTCTGAGCTCTTGGCCCTTGGTCTGAATAAATGAATGTTAAACACTCCAAGCAGGTTATTTCCCCACCTCCCCCCTCCTTTTTTCTCTCACACATTTGCAAAAACTCCCTGAAGTGTCTGGGGAGAGAGCAGAGAAGTCAGGAAGTGGCTTTGTGGTTTTCACTTGCCTGGGGTGGGGGGAGCTTTTTTTGGTTTAGAGTTTTTTTTTTTAAGAAGGAAGTTCCTTCTACTTGTGTCTTTTCTTAATTTGAAATGTCTACCTAGACAGAAAAAGCAAAAGTAGATACTAACCGAGGCATTTCTTCGGGCTCTACGGGAATAACGCTCACTGTCTTCCTACCAAGGCAGCAGAGAGAAAACACAGGGAAGTGTTGAGAGGACAGAGACACCAACACAGCGTTCCAGAAACACACAGTGAACTTCAGCCACGCTTGGGAGTCGGCGACGTTAAACCAAATAAATGGAAGGTGACACCCTGTCAAACTAGAAAATCCCTCTCTCCCTCCTTTGTGACCCCAACTTTCTTCCCCTCCATTTTACTCTGCTACACACTGTTATTACTGGTGCAGAAAACTTCAAGCAGCGACACCTTATTTCTATCTCAAAAATGTTTCAAGTGCATCTCTTCGCATGTGGGCACCGGTAATACTTACAGGGCTCGTGTCATTATGTTTCCCAGTCCTTCAAAATAAACATCAAATATCTTCCATTTGAAATAACGTGGCAGGGCCATGGTCTCTCCCTAGTGAGTATCCTGGAGGGGCACAGCCTGGCCCCTTCTTCCAGACTGAAAGCAGCTGTGCTCTGCTTACAGCCTCTGTGACACTGCAAATACTGTCAGGTGTAATACATCTCAATATACTGATTTTAACAAACTGATTTCCCATGGAATTTAGAAGCAGTGATAGAAAACAGGAAAAACTTTCACCATTATAGTCAACAGTTCTCACAGGTTGAATGGACTTTCAAGCAAGGGAATTGCCAGTGAGGTGGAGCTAAGCTCATCCAGCAAGGATTTGAGGAGACTCAATGGCTTATTTGTGAGATTGGAGCACCCTGGTGGACAGGTGGTCCGGGCAAACAAGTATTTACACTGATTTATTATCGAGGGTCAAGAGTTTTGAGGAGTTTGTGAGGTTATCTTCCACAGTGGAAGCCAGTTGTTTGGTTTTGCCTTTTCCAGTGTGCTTGTAGGGCAAGGCCGTGCACTAGAGTTTTCAGCTGGCATCACTGGAAAGTGATTTCATAAACTTAGGGTTGAAAGACATTTGAAGCCAATGACTTCCAGCCTATCAGCAACTTCTTTATCTTATATTACAGGTGTTAAAACAGTCAGATGTTGCTAGTGGCCAAGTCTGTAGCTGGTATCAACTTCACTGATTTTGGCAAATTGTAAAATTCAGGACACTGTATTATCAGAAAAAGCAAACATTGCCACCGTAGCAGTAATAATTCCTCTGAAGGATACCCCTGGGCCACTAAGTGCCAAGGTAACTGAGGCAGCACAGATAAAGCATGCCCACAATTTACCTGTGAAGGCAGATTTAAGAAGACTCAAATGGTAACGAAACCCACAAGAAGTAAAATGAGTATGGATATTCCTTCTATCTCAAGGGGCTTTAAAAGGCCTTTATTCTAACCTAACCCTCAAGCAATAGAGTGGAGACAGAGGTCTGTTAAAAAAGATGGTTCTAACCCAGCCCTTGCCAGTTTTAAGCTGATTAAAAGCCACCTTTCAGGTGGAAATGCAAGACTGCAGGAATGCTTGTGGTACGAGTGGAATTCACATCTCCAACACAAGAAAATACCTGCTTTGTGGGATTTCAAACTCTGTGAACTATACAAAACTTCAACACATAAAAGTTGTTGAGCTACGTTGATCAAGTCCTACCATCCATTGCTCGATGTCTCCCCACTTAGTATCCAGACCATAATATTTCTACAGGCAGAAAAGGGAAAAAAACAGAATTTAGATGAGAAAAGCAAACACAGAACATTTAGACATGCATTGCCAGGTCTTGGCCAAGCCACACACACACACAAACATGCCAGGAAGAGCTGCACCGAGTGGCACCAGAACCCTCCACAGCACGTGCCCAGGAAAAGCTGCCTGGAAAGAGGAAAGGGATTTTGGGGGTACAGCCAGGACACTTGACAGCTTCTTCTCTCTCAGCAGTGCAGAATCCCAGTGCTGGGGGACAGGAGCAAGGAGTGTAATGAGTCTTGAATTCCTGACCCATTTAAGTCAAGAGTCATTACAAGGGAGGTGAACGCAGGACACTTCCAGGATGAAAAATGCTGTCAAATCATGTTTCCCATACAGATTTGTCAAACTGGGTAGACAAGTTGAATACAAACACATCTCTGTGCACTCTGATTCGCTGTATTCAGAGCTGCCCAGAGCTCCATTCAGAGCACGAGGCTTTTTGCCTACACTTCAGCCATCTGACAGCGGTGGGAGCGCCAAAAAGGATAGAAGAGGACAAGCTCCACCAATGCAGGCAAGGCTGGAAAGCTCCCTGCCTTTCGGTTCCAAATGCCATGAATTTTCTTAATAGACTGTCTCGTCTGAACCGCTTCTCAGCTTGTAATTTCTTTGCACAACATCGGGAAGTTCCCAATGAATTTGAATTTCCATCAGGCAGCAAATTGTTCAGCGATACGCGGGTTTAATGGGACTTTTCTTCCTCCCCAAACAAGCATGTCAACTCTGGTCTCAGGAAGTTTGCATTTTTAATGGTGACCATAAGGTTCCCGTGTGAAGAAAAATCACTGGCCTAAAGCACAGCAACAGCCAAATGGAAATCCTGCTTAAGGAAGCATAATATGTATTTTAGAGCTTTCCTACTGGCTTGAGGAGGGAGGAGTATCAACAGTTGAAACCTTAGGAAATGATAAAAGAAAATCAGAAACGTGTTCTGTACTGCACTCTGGTTTTACCACTCGCTCAATGGTATTAATGTAATTTTGCTTTCACCCTTAAAAACCTCATTCACTAGTTATTAATAAACTAGAACCAACAGCAGCTGGACTACAGTTCAACACTTTATCAGTTTACTTCCAGTTCAGAGTTCTTTCTCTTCAAACAACAAAATTATTTTCATGTTAAAGTATTCTTCATTTTACTTTATTCTTAACAGCTCTGGAGAGAGCAAAATAGGTAGTGAGGTGCTCAATTATGCATCCTGGATAGTCTGAACTGTTCAGTGACCTACCTTTAAATGCTGCCAATTTTGAGGTCAAACTGGGAAAAGGCAGGAGCTCAGAACAATCCCAGTTATTAGGAAATATGTTAGAAAATAAGTTTTTAGGCCACTAATTTGAAAACAGAAAATAAATTCAATGCATGGCAAAGTTAAGTAGTATGTCAACATCTCTCTGGAACAAGGAAAAGAGACAACAGTTCAATAACCTCTCTAACCACTTCCCTATGGGAACAGGGAAGTATTCCCCTCTGCTTTACCTGCAAAGCATCTCACTGTGTGTTCAAGAATATCCCATTCCCTACACAATGCCTAGTCAAATTACACACAAGTGAAACTTCCCCCTTGAAATCAGAGGGCACAACATGAATAGTTTCTTCAAGCATTGCACACTTCTCACAAGGGCTCAGACTCGTTACTTCCAGGCAAAAGCAAAACCCATACAACAGAGCATTATAAAATTAACTTTTATGTACATCACAGCCTGAAAATGACCCCTGAAAATTCTATGAGCTCCAGCTGGTCAGGGCTGTGTACATGATGAGAACCTACAGATTATATGGTTTGCAGTAAAGCAGGTCAGGTAAAGCCTTATTAGAGGCTTTTCAGCCATTAAGAGACACCAATTTAAAAAAAGACTATTAAAATGGAGAATCCTTTCTCACACACAGAAAGGATCCATAAACACACTAGTAATTTCTGAAAGGTCTGCTGCTCCTTCTTCCTGCCTTCTGTTCTCATTTTCTGACACTGGTTTCTGAATTCAGCATTGCAGAAGGCAGATAAGGAAACACCCCTCATAAGACTTGCTGTGTCACAATTTAAGTTCCACTTACGGGCTTTTTCTCCTCCATTTCAAATTACACAGCTACATGCTTAATATCCCCTAAAGAAAAATCTTAATGAATGCAACTGCCTCGAGACTATTTTTAATTTATTATCTTTTAAACAGCACATGTCATATGGGACTGAACTGGCAGCTTTTGAAGTCTCAAGTATTTTGACCCCTCACCCCTTCCTGTTTCTTTCTCTGCACTGACTCTTCTGTTCTGTCCCCAAGGGCCTGATTCGAATGGGTTAAAGGAAGAAATGGTGCTTAGCCATTCACTTAGGTTTCAGCCAGAGGCCCTTGCCGGACTCGAGTTCCCTTCTACCCTGAAAAGTGATATTACAATTAAATAATTAATGACGTTAATACCATTGAGAGAGAATTCCAGATGCGATTTGCTCACTAAGTGACAGCGAAAACTGCCAGACTTGCAAACTCACTATGGGATGTTGGGAGGATAACCCACTTATCTTCTCATCCATGTCAGGACACCAACAGTAAACAACCTCCTGGGCTCCCACGGGGCTGCGTTTGCACCAGAAGGTTAAATTAGTTCCCATAAAGGAGATTAATAACGAGCCTGTTGATCCATGGGCAGACGTTGAGTCACTCACTACGCAGTCAACTCCAGAAATAAAACCAAGAGTAAGATAGATTTGTTGCTCAATCGATGGGGTCAGGGTTAAATACCAGAGCACATGATTTGAGCAGCTCTCTTCATATGCATATGCCCTCAAAGAGGAGAACAGCACTTTCAAGAAGCACATGCACTGCTAGGTCAAGCTTTGAAACATGCAGTTAGGGCAGCTGGAGTGCCAGAACAAAACCAAACACGCCGTGGGTTTAGGACACATTCATCACTCAGCAAGCAATCAAAATATCTCAGGAAACAAAAAGGAAATATTCAATAAAGGAGTAAATGGCAGGCTTGAAGAAATATGTGCTTTCTCCCTCCCTGTAAATCCTCTTTGGAGCTATTTCTGTTTCTAGGTACCACATAGTTCACATGCTGGAAGTGTAGAACAGCCAAGCACCATAACACCAACTCCAAAATCTCTGTTGCTACATAGCAAGTGACCTCAGAGCTACTATTATCATCATCATCTCGGCCACCACCATGAAAAGGAAATTGGGAGGAAGGAAGAGATCACGACTTTAAATTGAGGTGAGAGAGGATTAAATAATGTAAAAGCACTTGTAAGACTTAGGTGCCATTGGAAGGAAGGTCATATGGTTTATTTACCAAAAGATTATGAATTCAAACACAGCATCGCTGATTTCCTTCAGTGACTTTCTGCAAACAAAGTCATCTGAAAGTCATTCTTCCTGCTGGCACCTGTTAAATGCTTGCCCAGCCTGAAATACTTCCAGGGATACTCTTGGCCTTTGGCACACAAATGTCTGTGTGGTTCTTGGTGGCACACGGAGCCACCGTACCCTCCTATGACCCTGCTTTGCCAAATCACTCTTCTGCTTATTGATTATTCTTTGGCCAAACAGGCTGTAGAAAAAAAATTATATGAAGTGCCTGACCAGACATTTTCCAAGGGTCATCTTCCCCCCACTCACCTTTATTATCCATACAAGATTAAGGGAGGGAAGGAACTGTATGGAAATTTACAGCCTGTTGTGCATCTCCCATTCTTTAGAGGATTTTCTAGGTTGGGCTCAACGATCTTGGAGGTCTTTTCCAACCTAAATGATTCTGTGATTCTGAAATTCTAGCACGACTCACAACACAGGAACACATGCAAACAAGAATGAAAGCGAGCAAGCCCTACCTTCTGGACTTGATAGATCTGAGGGAAAAGGGAAAGGAAAGAAACAAGGAACAAAGCTAAGCATGAATGGATACATAGCAGTGCAACATTCCACAGCTCATTCTGGAGGGAAAAAACGTAATTCATACAGAAAATACAGCAAAACATGAATACAAAGAAGTGCACATTAAAGTCCTGTAGATTTAGGTAGAACAATCCTACACACCTTTCACCTATGTACAGCACAGTCAGTGTGTTAAAGCTCCTGGAAAATTCCTTGCAAATACACTGCCAGCACTAGAGGATCTCTGCAGGTTGCTTTTTCAATTTTTAATGCTTCCATGGAGCCTCACATTGTTTTCAGGCCTTAATAAATACACTGCTGACTGTTGCTCGATAGTCTTGGAGCACTTTGGTAACACACAAAAGCATTACAGTTACTCTACTGCATCTGAATTTTGAGTAAGTGGAGAACTGCCCTTGACTGATCAGTTTTGTAAACCCATATGAAAACGGAAAACATGTTTTTTCTTTAATCTTTGCTAAAGCCAGAAACCCTTCTGGGTTCAAAAAACAAAGAACCCTTCTTCTTCAACACCACCTAGCTGGCTACACAAATCCAGAAGGAAGCTGAAGCTTCATTCTCCCCACTTCCCTGCTTGAACACCAAGCTCTGAATTTTCAGGAAACGTGTCCCAGCTCTGGTCTGAGAGTCCTCAGCTGCCTCACTGCTGATCTTCTGAGACAAGCAGAGACACGGAGTAAACACCAACACCAGCCCGCTGCTCTATGGGGGAGGGAACATACACTGCTCTGACTCCAAATACTCCAGTGGGTCAGCAGGCAGCAGGGTAGTCAGTCTCCTGTATTTTGGGGTATTCAGAGGATCTCTGCCATCCAGGTATTCAGAGGATCCCTGCCACCCACTGCTCTCTGAGAAATCCACCTCAGAGATATCCAGATCCCAGCCCTGGGGAAGCCGAACGTACATTTTTCAATCCCCGCGCTCCTGATCAGGTTCCCCTTCACGAAGGACAAGTGCAGAACCCAGCTTAATACCTCAGCAGCATTAATTCCCATTCCAACAAGCGCAGGGGGGATAATTAGGACCCACATTTAAAACCACCATTCCCACACATATTCACCACCTCTCTTACCTTCTCCTAAGAAAGCCCTGAAGAAGAAAATTAACTAGATGCTCCCACAGTTCCAAAGGCTGCACACAATTCCAGTCTCTAGCTTTTCCATGGCACACACACAGGGTGCCTTTTGTCCATATACAGAAGCCAAACACGACAGGTTTAGTTGTTGCAATTACCAAGTGGCTGTTTAACCTTTAGGCTTTAACTTTTCAGTGCTGTTTTTTCACCCATGCTTTCAGGCAACACCACGGAAGTCTTTATTTTTGAAACCCCAGTGCTTCAGGCTTGGCATAGAAGGTATTCCCACTGAGCCCAAAGCAAGACACGCAAGGAGTCTTGTGCCCAGGACCCTGATTGCCAAGAGACAAGATAACAATGAGGCCCTTTGTTCAGACCAGGCACCACGGAAGGAGGTGGAGAAGGGCACAGGGATAAAGCCAAGTGCATCATCATAACTGTTCCAGTGCTTTATAAAACCTGGAATTCTGAATGCTAACAGGCATTACAACAGCTCTCCTCCAAAGTGACTGATCCCTCGGCAGTGTCCTAGTGGGAGGTGTCCCTGCCCATGGCAGGAGGGTTAAAACTAGATGATTTTTAAAGATCCTTTCCAACCCAAACCACTTGAGGATTCTGTGATGATACTATCCTCCTTAGATGGTATGTTACAGGAGGAAACACACTTTTAAACAATAATTCCTATTGCAGGTGTGCCCCTCACAAAAGCTTAAGAGTCAACAGACACCAAAGCAGTGAAATGTGTTAAGCAGCACTCTCCTGTATTAGGGTATGACAAAAAAACCCAAACATGTGTTTTGTCCACAGTATTAGTGGCAGACTGCTTTCCTGGTTTCCTCATCACAGGAGTTTTCCCACAAAAATAACATTTTTCATAGAAATATCTTTAAAACAGGACAGAACAAGCCAGTGATGCATTGTTAGACGGTGGCAGAAGTCCAGAGTCTACTAAAAACACCTTCAACATTGTCCCTTTCCAAATTTTCCTGTGCATCTTCACACTGGCTGTGTAAGACAGGCACAGATTAACCATCAGAAACCTTCTTCATTTCTTCCCTGGATATGGAAGCACCGAGTTTCATAGTCTGTCTCACCCTTCCCATTCAAGCCACAAAAATTCTGCTTTTCTCTAGCTTTTCTTTTCTACTAGAAAGTATTGGTGGCATACTTTATTCTAAAGAAATACGAATCCAAAGGAGGAAAAGTGAGTATGCTTTTAAAGAAGGAATTTACAAAATAGCCAAGGCAAGTTTTGTGCTGTGCCCTTAAAGCAAGAGCTGAAAATGAAGGCAGGAGAGCAGCACAGTGCACTTGCCTTGAACTGGAGGGCTCATCTAATGTGCAAACTGACAAGGAAGAATCTTATCCAACCGATTAAGGAGTGGGAGGAGATCACTGTCTTTTCACTTCAGGCACTAATATCAGCTTAAACTGTGGTCTCCAAGTGTCAGTCCTCAAAAAGACATTTAAAGCCTTGGCAGCAGAGCACACAGAAAGTACTCCTACAGAAAACATTGTCTACAATTAGCCCTAATGCTGCAGCTTTTACGTGTCTTGAAACATTCCTGTTAAATATTGTTTGGGGGAAAAAAAGGCTTTAATACATCTTATGTCAAGCTTCGGGAAAAAAATGCACAGGAAAAAAATTATTCTTTCCATTTTACCTGGTAGCCCCATGATAATTAACAACTTGTTACTCAGAAAAACTGAGCTGAAAACTCCTGACTTGCTCTTCTGCCTGAATTAACAATAAATATCTGAGTGTACACAGGAATTTGTCTCAGGACCAAGCACAAGTACAAGCCAAAGGGACTGACCTCAGACTCTGCAGCTGGAAACCAAGTGTTTAAAGACCCTGGCAGCATGGTATGGTAAAAGATGACCCATCACTGCTCTGACTCCAACCAGCTGGGGAGTATCAGCAGTGTGGAAACAGGGAAGGGAGCAAGTACCATCTACTGTAATTGTCCTTTCAGCTCAGAACATGCATTGGCAATGAGAGCTCTCCTGCACTGACTTACTATGTGTGGAAGCAAACCAGCAAACCTGTCCAAACCTCCAGATTAATTATTTACATCTTTGGTGAATAACAAAAACAAAGCAGCACCGAATGAGAACTCAGAAACATTCAAGCTGTTCCATTTGTTAGATCTGTGCCTTTCCTAAAGCCTTATCACCAAGACCACATTCTCTACTAAATATATAAATTTATTCACATATATGTGATTCAAGAGTGATCACTACCCTTATCTTCATGAGAAAGCCAACCATGTCCTGGGCTCATCCCACAGCGTGGGCAGCAGGGGAGGGTGGGATTCTGGCCCTTTACCCTGCTCAGGTGAGACCTCACCTGCAGAGCCGCCTCCAGCTCTGGGGGCCCCAGCACAGGAAGGACATGGAGCTGTTGGAGTGAGCCCAGAGGAGGCACCAAGATGATCAGAGGGATGGAGCACCTCTCCTATCGGGAAAGGCTGGGAGAATTGGGGTTGTTCAGCCTGGAAAAGAGAAGCTCCAGGGTGACCTAATTGCAGCCTTCCAGGACCTGAAGGGGCCTACAGGAAAGGGAGAGAGAGACTATCTACCAGGGCCTGGAGATACAGGACAAGGGGTGATGGCTTCAAATTCACAGAGAGTAGGTTTAGATTAGATATTAGGAAGAAATTCTTCCCTGTGAGGGTGGTGAAGCCCTGGCACAGGTTTCTCAGAGAAGCTGTGGCTGCCCCATCCCTGGAAGTGTTCAAGGCCAGGTTGGATGGGGCTTGGAGCAACCTGGGCTAGTGGAAGGTGTCCATGGCAGGGGGCTGGAACAAGATGAGCTTTAAGGTCACTTCCAACCCAAACCATTTTGGGATTCTGTGATCAGATCATGATTCTTGTGCTCATTTTCTTTCTTCAGCTTCAGAAAACACTTTTCATCTACCTAGTTCACACTTTACTATAAACTTGTGCTTGTGTTCTCACCTTCCTCTCCCCGGAGAAGAAAAACCCAAAACCACAAACCACTGGCATGCTTATCCTTCTTTCTGCTGCCCAGCATGAGGTGGTGCCAGGTGATGCCACGGTGGGGTACACCTGCAATCCTGCCCCACCACAGCGACCGGCTGCAGCCTTCCACCAGAACTTTTCCCACATTTCCCCCTGCAATCAAGTGTTTTCTGCCAAAAGCCCATCTATTTCTGCTACATAATTTCTCCATCATGTGTGTAGACTCGTGATGCAAAAGTCACCCGGTTATTTTAAAATGAGGAAAATGAAGCACAAGATGAAGAAATGTCATTAATACTAGTTGGTGGGCAGGAAAGGAGCCAATTTTCAAATCCAAATTATTAAAACACTTCGCTTCTTTGCCAGTGAGGGCTATACTGCCATGGTTATAGCCTGTAATGGTAGCACCTGGAAACTTTTAAATCAGACCAGCAATATAAATATATTTTCAAGTAATCCACGCTCCACAAGAAAGCCTGCCAGGGCATGTACAGTGCTTTAAGCATGAACAAGTACACGCACATGCAATAAATTTATTTATTGCTTTTTAACTGCCACAGCTGGCTCTAAAAAGCCTTCTGAAGTAGTAAAGCAAGTGCTTTAAGTTCTGTTATTTAACATGGCAGTAGTGGAACAGTGCTCTTTATGTCTTGAAAAGTTTGCAAAGGGAAATGAGGAAAGCAGAGAACAAACTGTACAGAGACCAGTGTCACAGTAGGTTCCCCACCAAGGAAGGCATAGGTGCCAAATCTCTTTGGTTGATCACTGCTTGAGATTTTCTGTATGTTTCATTATATCTGCAGGATACTTGTGGCAAGGAAAAACTTCCTCCAGTCAATCCTAACTAGCTCTACCTGGCATCTGGGGGCTGAGATTAAGCTATTTTGGAAAGTTACAGAATCTCTGGGCTTGCAAAAATACAAAATAAATGTGTAATCATATTATGTCATTTATGCCAGTGAATTACAAAGCAGATTGTAGTGGGTATCTGGCTGAGCTTTTACTGAATGTGGTATTTCAGAGGGACATCCTGTCCTATTCAATTTCTATCTCTATGAAATTTGTCACAGATTTTCAGATCACAAGCTCCTCAGTTATTAACTGCAGGAGCATGCACACAAGCTTTAGTTTTCACACCAAAATTTCAGTTTACTAGGACACCCTTTGCAGCATCAGCTTTTAATCTTCAAAGGGGTCATCAGCTCCACTAAAGTTATCTGTGAATTAGACGGTGTCAGCTGCCGTGACTCTGGTATTTACCTTCCTGCCCAAACAAAACACCTGATGCTTGTTTACCACCAGCCCTCCCACGGGCTGCCGGGCAAGTCTCACCAGACCGTCAGCAGCTGGGCAGTGCCAACACTTAGACCTTCCGACCGTGAGACAGGTTGCAAAAAACATCCTTTAGAAAGCAGCAACTGCAGCAGGAAAAGGCTTCTCTCTTCCACGAGCTCTGTGTCTGCAGCAAGGCTCCCCCACAGCTCTCACTGCTGCTGTGTTTGCAGGTACATCAAACCCTGCTGTGGCTACAGGGTGCTGAGACACATCCAGACATGTATGAGACACTCCAAAAGCCGAGTGTGGGCAAACTGCCCAAGCGCTTCTTTTGCGGGCTGGTTGCTGCAGCCTGCACTGACACCGGTCTGCCATCACACCCTCATCCATATCCTGCTATCACATCCTGATTCGCTGTTTAAAAGCTCCACTGAATCCTTCTCTGGGCCCTAAAGCACAGACGTAGAATCACTGAATTACAGAATAACCTGGGTTGGAAGCGACCTTAAAAATCATCCCACTCCACCCCCCTGCAGGAACACCTCCCACTGTCCCAGGTTGCTCCAAGCCCTGTCTTGGACACTTCCAGGGATAGGGCAGCCACAGCTTCTCTGGACAACCAGTATCAGAGCCTCACCACCCTCACAGGGAAGTCTTCCTAACATCTAACCTATTCCCTTTCACTGTAAAGCCATTCTCCCTTGTCCTGTCGCTACATGCTCTTGTACATTTGTTCTTACTATGCATTCCCAAACACTGACCCCAGACTCCTTACTACTTCCTTTTCCCTCAAAAATCTATTGAAAAAATTAAATTATTAAATTATTAAATTATTACTGTTGGCCTTGTAACACCTACTCTGCTGTTCCACTGAATCAACATCAGCAAACACAAATTTTAAGCCCTTTTGGTTCAGTTCACCTGGGCCAACCCCTGCATGCAGCCCTGTTCCAATAGCACCAGTTAATCTTCTAGAGCTCCTAAACAAATGCTGCTCCCAGTTTCTTGTAGCAGTGACACTGAATACAGCTCCTACTTGTCAAACACAGCAGGAGCAGAACAAGCTCTCTGGTCTTTAAGATCATTCCTACGCTGGAAGCCCATGACCTCCCACATGCTGACAGGCAGAGGCACAGAAACTCTGCTGGTGATATAAAACAATCAGCTCTTCCTGAATTAGGGAAGAGACTACAGCAGGCATTTAATCCAAATTCTGTGGAGAAGGTAATGCTTTGCTAAGTTCAGTTTCTGTCGCTGCTCCTGCCAACAGCAGACCATCCTTTTTACAAACTGGGGGAGAGCCCAATATCAGCTTCACGGCAGAAAGCAGAACAATTTACAATAGAGTTATACAAGGGCCAGGAATCTTCCATATTCATTAGATTTCTAACAAAGTGATAAGAATCCACCACCCCCAATGCACACACAAAGAAGCTGCACACTTCGAAGCTTAATATTAAACAATAATTACTAACCACGAGTATTTTCTGTGAATAATTACACTGGCTTCACCAAGATAAAATCCTTGCCACGATCCATATTTTTTCCAGGCTGTTCTACGATTAGCATTAGTTCCACGCAGACTACACGTGTTTCCACAGAATACAGATTAACCCTCTCTTCCAGAATCTCTGATCATCTTCTCCCCTAGTCCAAACATCCCCCAGAGCCTTGACCTTACCTCCTTCTGCTGTCTCTCCAGTTCTTTCATTCGGATCTCCCGTGCCTCTGCCCGCGCCGCTCGCTTCGCCGCGAGCCTTGCTTCAGCCTGCAAACGGGAACACAGGAGTGAAATGAAAGCCGGACAATCCAACGTGAAACACACCTGCTAAGCAGGGCATGAAATAAGGAGACTTGACTCGGCAAGACTGTAAACACATCCGTAGGAGTTAATTCCCTATTGCAAGTAATGGCCCTGCCTTCTGTAACTTGTTATCTTCACAGTCAGCTAATACACCCCCGCGCAGGCACAGCCCTCCTTAGCGCTTGTGTTTGAAAGTGCTCTGTGTCTCTTTAATTACTGTTTGTGTGGCTGGGAAGGAAACAGGGAGATTTACTTAAGAAAGGCGGGTTTTGCTCTTTTTGTTTTGGATGGGGGTTTTTTTCCCTCCCCTGCGGTGTTGGATTATTTTTTATTGATGAATTAATTTGACCAGCAGCAAACACATCGTGTGCCGTTTTTCCTCACCGCTGACACTGGGCACACATACCTGGGCACAGGGGTCGGGTAAACACTGCTGTTCAGCATGACTGTGCACAGCTAAGGCTGAAGTGATAGAGGGTAGGGAACCTGAGAAAATGCACTAACTCAACTGTAAGTCTCCAGAACTCTGTATTCCAGTCTCAACCTCTCTGGAGTGGAATTCTGCCAGGAACAGGCCTTTAGGGAGTGCTTCCTCACTTCAGCCCTGTTGGAAGTGCTGGAACATGCTACACATTGCAGTAACATTTTTAATATTCTTCTTTAAATCCCAGGCAAAGCCAGTAGGTCTTACAGAGAAAAACGTGAAATAATTTCAGGTTTGGTACAATACAACTGTGAGCAGCTCACCCAGCAGAATTCATAATAGCTCAGCAGGAGTCAAAGGCATCACTCAGCCAGTCACCCTGATGTTACACCCAACTCCTCTACTTATGAAACTTTCCACTGTAAGTACAACATCCAAATTTACAGGAAAAAGTGCAATAATAATATCAAGGTCAAGCACACAGAGAAATCAAAATGCTGATGCTTTCACCAGCGCTTCTAAATAGAAGGGAAACCAGAAAAAAAGGAAGGTGTAATTTCTTCTCCCTTCTGTAAGTGTATTCACCACTCAAGCTTGGGGAAAAGGGCCTTCAAAAACACAAAACAAAACACAGAAAGCAAGCCAAAAATTGCCTTATAGGTTGGCTGGAACTTGCAACTAGTGAAAACCAAGCACGAGCAGTGTATGGGAGGACTAGGAGCCTTGTGATGCTGTACATCTTAAAACCTCAGCCTGGAGATGAGAAGACCAAGAGGTGATCTCATCAGTCCATATAAATATCTCCAAGATGGGTGTCAAGAGGATGGTGCCAGACTCTTTTCAGGTGTACCCAGCAACAGGAAGAGGAGCAACGGCCATGAACTAAACCACATGAAGGTCCACCTTAACATGAGGATGAAATTCTTTCCATGGAGGGTGGCAGAGCACAGGAACAGGCTGCCCAGGGAGATCACGGAGTCTCCCTCTCTGGATACATTCCAAACCCACCTGGACACATTCCTGTGTGCTCCAGGTGACACTGCCTTGGCAGGGGGGTTGGACTGAATGATCTCCAGAGGTCCCTTCCAACTCCAACTATCCTGTGATTCTGTGAACTTCAGTCTGAAAAATTAGTTGTAATAACAAAAAAAACACCTTCTTGGAGAGCAAAAAAAAAAAAGCTCATGGCAGAAAGACAGACAGGCTGGTTTTGCACAGAGCACTGTTCTCCCTTGAGTTCACTGTTTGAATTTTGAGGTAACCAGCTCTGCCATGGACAGAAACTCCCATCTCCACATGTGCACCCAAAACCACCCCCTCTCATCATCCGTTACTTACAGAGCCAGGTGATGGCAGGCTCCAGGGTGCAGGCATGTATTCCCAGGAGTGTTTTCAACAGCACTTCCCAACCTGAAGCAGTTTGTCCAAAGAAAAAAACAACCCCAAAACCAAAAAAACACCCCAGCCCTGCTGCTAGGCAAATCCTAGGCAGAATCCCTGCCAGGCAGTGTTATGATCCACCTGCAGCGTTTGAATTTATGACACCCACTATGTAAACATGCCCCGAGATGTATGCTAAAGGTAAGAAACCGCTGCTCTACAAACAAGTATGATATCAACTTGAGGAGATTCCTTTCTGTTTATTTAAAAATAAACTGTAGCACTTGCAGATCCCACCTGATATAGCTGAAGAATAACATCCAAGCAAACTGTTTTCCCCTTATGGAAAATAAAGGGCCCCAAAGTCTCCATAAGCAAAATACACCAAACAGTACAGATTGTGTATCTCAAACTTCCCCTGCGACAGAAAGAGGCAGAAACAAGATTATTTTTATGTTAACATTACTGTAGGTCTCATCCTCATGAATTTCAATAACCAGTTGAGCTTTCACATTAGAATTGAATGCCTTCACATAAAATTCAGATGTTGTACTACAGAAAAGTATGTGTGTTTCCCCTTGCTTTCTTTATATCATAAGGGCAAAAGGATTTGCACAATACATAGCTATGTTGCAGAATTATATGCTTTACAGAAGCACAATATAATATGAAATGAAACAACTTGAAAAATAGGAATAAAAATTAAAAATTTAGCCAGTTGTTCTCAGGGCTCCCTGAGAATGAGGCTCACAGTTCCCTGATTACTGATACCAACTACAGTAAGTTAAATTAATTTTACTCTGTGCAACATTGCACATGTAACCTGTCATTTAGTAGTATTCATTTCAGTTTTAAGTGCCAATCCATGGGGCATATCTAATTAATTCTATTTCACCTATGCAGTCCTCCACCTGTTAATTCAGAGCCAATCTGCAAACTTTGTAAGAAGAAAAACACATTTTCACTTAGCATCTTTGACTAAAAATGGCTTAAGTCTTGGAACAAGCATATTGTTTATTTATGAACTTTTTCTTTCCATGACCACGGGGCTCTTCAGCATTAAGTATCCCTGAACACAAACAACACAAACTGTATTCTGGATTCTTGAACTTTAAGTTACAAATCTGCTGTTAGCACATACTGGTACCACCTTTGTAAGAAGTTAAATTGTTATTCCACCCTGAACACTAATATTTTAAGGCAATTCATTTTTATCACGTCAAAACAAATAATTATAGAATTGTTTGGGCTGGAAGGAACCTCTGGAGGTCTCCACCCTCCTGCTCAAAGCAGGGTCAGCATCAAACTCACATCAGTTGCTTTGGCTCCTGAAAACCTCCAGGTTTGGTGGCTCCACGGCCCCTCCAGGCTCCTGTCTCAATGCCTGACCATCCTCACAGTGAATAAATCCCCCACATACATCATGTCAGAACCGCTCTTGGCTCCCTGGTAACCCCAGCTTGTACGTCAGAAGGCTGCTGTGCCTTAAGGTCTGGTGTTCTGCATCAAATACAAAGTGACCTGGGCTGCTACATTTTTAAACATGTTCTCAAGGCTGTCTGGGTGCCATTTAGATGGTTACACAATTCTCACCGTGGTTCCTGACAAAACACCAGCTCATTCGTGCTGGACAAAGGCGGTTTTGTAAGAAACAGGCCATCCTTTCCTAAAGGGTTTCTGAGTCCACAGCAAAATGAGAGAATGAGTGACAAGAAACATGCAAGAAGAAAAAAAAGACTTCAGTATCTGAGGTTCTGCAGGTGTTCTCCAACTCAAGAGAAATGTTTTATGGTATAGTCAGACTGGTCATTAAATGATCAACCTGTGGCCTTCATAATCCTGTTTCTAGCATGCTTTAGTGGATGAAATTACTACACTCTGTTGGTGGCATTAGTGACAAACCTGGCATCACTTGTGAGCTCAGAGGAAGTAAATCCATCAGGGCCGGGATGAGTCCAAACAATGTGTACAACGTTATCAAAATCAAACCAAAGTCTGGGAGCATCCTAACATCCAGCAAATTCCGCAGCAAGTGTGGGCAGCAAACAGGACCTCTCAAACACGTTTTCCTGTGTAGAAGCCCAGCTCAGGTACAGACAGGTGCAGGTACCCCACCAAAACATAACCTCCACTGCTACCCCCACCTGCTCATTCACAGTCAATCTGCAAACCTTTAAGACCTGTAAGAATAAAAGTACCAACTTTCAGACTAAGACAAAAGAGTGTCAGATTTATTATGGACCTCTCCCTCAAACACAGGGGTGTGATTAAACTCATCCGAGTTTGTCAAACCACACTCTTTGAAACTCTTGGACTCTGCTCTGTGCTATAAATACCTTGATTCCTTGCACGCCCTGCAAACAGCAATGTTAACTTTACATTTCTCTCTCTGTGCTGACCAAACCAAAAGAGGCTTTGCCTGGCTGACTTTGGCCTTCATCCAGTCCAAGTGCTCATCAGAGCCACTACCTGTAAGGGCAGTAGCAGAGACAGACACCACAGCCTGCAAAAGACGCTGCTGAACATTATAAAACCACCCCAAAATTCACAAAGACTTCTGAAATTCACACTACAAAAGCTAAAACGAAGAAGTCTTTAGGTTGCCTAAGGCATAAATAACTATTTAAGGGACTCAAGATAAAAAAAATTTAAAAATCACTAAGATTCAAGGAAGTGATCTTAAAATCATCTAAAATTCACTAGTGACTCAGCAAGCAATACAGGCCTCAATCAAAAGTGACAGGTCACTGGCAAAAACAGAAGAATAAAAATATGAAGCCTAATTGCACTCATTAGAAAGCTTTTGCAACTTCCCTTTTATGAGGTATTGCTCATCTGACAAGAAGAACTGGCAGCTTCAGCCTTACTGAGCACGTCATACAAAAAAACACCTCCTAAGAGAGGCTTCCGTAAAGCCCCGTGGGCAAAACGAGGGGAGATGGCAACCACACTGCTGAGATCAACACGGAACTGTGCACCAGCTGAAAAATCATCACCTTAATTCCTGTAACTCTCTCAAATACTACAAATATACATACTGAATTTCGGTCTTTTATTGCAGTTGCTCAGAATGACTTGTAGCCACTAAGCCCTGAAACAAGTGTACTGTTGAACCGCAAAACACTCACTCGTTGCTTTTGCTGGTCTACTTGCCCAGCAC